CTGTGCCTGAATTGTAGTTTGTAGGGCTATCCAGCTGCACTGTTAGTAACTCTTTATTTTGTAAGTGTAATCTCTTTAGACCTAAATTGTTTTTGTTTTAATTATGAATATTGAATTACATGGCCTCTGAGGGCGCTTTTGAAAGTGTCCCATACAATAAGGGGATCTGCAGTACCTGTTATGCAGGAAAAAGTCAGTTATAAATTATTTTGTCTTGGTTAGGAACAGATTGTCATCCAGTAGGCTTTGATTACATTTCCAGTATCCTCTCCCACGTGGGAATTCTGTAAGGGTTATGTGGATGCCAATTTGGTGGTGGTCCGATCGCATTATTTCTCCTATCAATACTTTTTTTTATTTTGGTGCCAACAAGGACACAAGAAAGTAGTCAAGATGACTATCTTGATTAAGCCTCTGTGTATATCTCACTAAGTCAGGGATTTTAACCCTTTACACTCGTACCCGCATACGGATTGCAAGTGGCTAGTACAGTAACATGCTATACATGATGTCAGCGCTCTGGTTCTGCGGTTCACAGCACTGTATGGATTTTGACTGGCAGTCTTTCTGAACTTGAGCCGGTTATTGGGTAACTTTTGCAAAGATTTTGATGTCTGAGTGAGGGAAATGCTGTAAATTTAAGATGACTCAATATATTTTGAAAGATGAGACGTTCAGGATTATAATAAATACTGCATTGATGTCATTACAAGCAAGCCAAACACCCGTGAGTCCAAATGTGCACTTCACATTTCCAAATCATAGAACTCGTCATATACAGTGTCAACGTTTATGATCACTATGTTTGATGTACAGTTACAAGATGACATGGTGTCATACCCTGGGTTGTTCGGAACAGAATTAGCCTATGTTTGTTTGTTTGTTTGTTTAAGGAAATTAGCTGCGGCACACCCACCTGAATGCACTCCTGACTCCTTTCTATGCGCCTACAATTACTATCTGAATTGCCTTGTGAAAGCCTAACACTGTAAGATCGTATTTTATAACTTAGCTAGACATGTTGGCAATAGAATAACCTTTCAAATCATGCCCACCTAACCGGGATTTATAATGGACAGTTTTTGGATTACGTAAACAGCAACAGTAATTGTGTGATGGCGGGGATGCAGGGTTGTGTTCCATTACAGGTGTGCGTGCTCTAGTTCCTCAACGGCACAGCTAGGAGAGCTCAAAAAAGTACATTATAGTTGAAGACTCTTCTTCATAAATGTGCATTGAAATTGCTTAGGAACTGTGCACACTTTGGAGAGGTGTGTGGCCACTTGGATACACCAGTTAGTCATCTCACGCAAACCCTTGTAATTTGTTTATCTTATGTTGCATCTACCCCAGATTTTCCAGCAATAGTCTTATCATGTTACTGAAGGTATCCATAGTATTTTCAGATTTCGTTATCTACAAATGTAGCGAAAAGTACAGTAAATGTAAAATGCACATAAAATCAACAGTGTAATGTTTGGATTTAGTATTGTCAGGTGAACTGTTGTGTACTCACCTTTGGTCTAATAATTGTCCCCTTATCTCCAGACTGTTCCCTTTCAATTGCAACCATGGTTATGCATATGCTTGTCATTTTCTATTTTGTAAGAAACATTTCAATAGCATATTTAAAAGTATCTTCCTTGCAGATCTGTTTGGACATTTAGCACATTAGGAAAAGGTTGTAAATTTAATATCGTCACCTTTTTAGAATTTATTTGCCCATGACAGAATAACATTTCTACTTTCGTCTTTTTTTTTCCATACAACCTCATCTGTAGTCGTAGAGTGAGTTTCCTGTGAACAGTCAATATGATATTCTTTTTCTTTTAGCCAAGTAAAGATTCATAATATTTTTATGATCTGCTAAGCCATTACAATTATACATAGCTATACTTAAGTATGTGGACACCTGCTCATCGAACATCTCATTCCAAAATCATGGGCATTAATATGGAGTTGGTCCCCCTTTTGCTGCTGTAACAGCCTCCACTTCTGGGAAGGATTTCCACCAGATGTTGGAACATTGCTGCAGGGACTTGCTTCCATTCAGCCACGAGCATTAGTGAGGTCGGGCACTGATGTTGGGTGATTAGGCCTGGCTCACAGTCGGCGTTCCAATTCATCCCAAAGGTGTTCGATGGGGTTAAGGTCAGGGCTCTGTGCAGGCGAGTCAAGTTCTTCTTCACCGATATCGACAAACCATTTCTGTATGGACCTCGCTTTGTGCATGGGGGCATTGTCATGCTGAAACATGAAAGGGCCATCCCAAAACTGTTGCCACAAAGTTGGAAGCATAGAATCGTCTAGAAATTCATTATATGCTCTAGCGTTAAGATTTCCCTTCACTGGAATTAAGGTGCCAATCCCGAACCATGAAAAACCGCCCCAGACCGTTATTTCTCCTCCACCAAACTTTACAGTTGGCACTATGCATTTGGGCAGGTAGCATTCTCCTGGCATCCGCCAAACCCAGATTTGTCAGTCGGACTGCCAGATGGTGAAGCGTCCCGTTCTGTGAGCTTGTGTGGCCTACCACTTCATGTTTCCACTTCACAATAACAGCACTTACAGTTGATTGTGGCAGCTATACAGTGAGGGGGAAAAGTATTTTATCCCCTGCTGATTTTGTACGTTTGCCCACTGACAAAGAAATGATAAGTCTATCATTTTAATGGTAGGTATATTTGAACAGCAAGAGACAACAAAAAAATCATGTCAAAAATGTTATAAATTGATTTGCATTTTAATGAGGGAAATAAGAATTTGATCCCCCTCTCAATCAGACAGATTTCTGGCTCCCAGGTGTCTTTTATACAGGTAACGAGCTGAGATTAGGAGCACACTCTTAAAGGGAGTGCTCCTAATCTCACCTTGTTACCTGTAGAAAAGACACCTGTCCACAGAAGCAATCAATCAATCAGATTCCAAACTCTCCACCATGGCCAAGACCAAAGAGCTCTCCAAGGATGTCAGGGACAAGATTGTAGACCTACACAAGGCTGGAATGGGCTACAAGACCATCGCCAAGCAGCTTGGTGAGAAGGTGACAACAGTTGGTGCGATTATTCGCAAATGGAAGAAACACAAAAGGACTGTCAATCTCCCTCGGCCTGGGGCTCCATGCAAGATCTCACCTCGTGGAGTTGCAATGATCATGAGAACGGTAAGGAATCAGCCCAGAACTACACAGGAGGATCTTGTCAATGATCTCAAGGCAGCTGGGACCATAGTCACCAAGAAAACAATTGGTAACACACTACGCCGTGAAGGACTGAAATCCTGCAGCGCCCGCAAGGTCCCCCTGCTCAAGAAAGCACAAATACATGCCCGTCTGAAATTTGCCAATGAACATCTGAATGATTCAGAGGAGAACTGGGTGAAAGTGTTGTGGTCAGATGAGACCAAAATTGAGCTCTTTGGCATCAACTCAACTCGCCGTGTTTGGAGGAGGAGGAATGCTGCCTAAGACCCCAAGAACACCATCCCCACCGTCAAACATGGAGGTGGAAACATTATGCTTTGGGGGTGTTTTTCTGCTAAGGGGACAGGACAACTTCACCGCATCAAAGGGACGATGGACGGGCCATGTACCGTCAAATTTTGGGTGAGAACCTCCTTCCCTTCAGCCAGGGCATTGAAAATGGGTCGTGGATGGGTATTCCAGCATGACAATGACCCAAAACACACGGCCAAGGCAACAAAGGAGTGGCTCAAGAAGAAGCACATTAAGGTCCTGGAGTGGCCTAGCCAGTCTCCAGACCTTAATCCCATAGAAAATCTGTGGAGGGAGCTGACGGTTCGAGTCGCCAAACGTCAGCCTCGAAACCTTAATTAGAGAAGATCTACAAAGAGGAGTGGGACAAAATCCCTCATAGATGTGTGCAAACCTGGTGGCCAACTACAAGAAACGTCTGACCTCTGATTGACTACAAAGTACTAAGTCATGTTTTGCAGAGGGATCAAATACTTATTTCCCTCATTTAAAATGCAATTCAATTTATAACATGTTTGACATATGTTTTTCTGGATTTGTTTGTTTTTATTCTGTCTCTCACTGTTCAAATTAACCTACCATTAAAATTAGAGACTGATAATTTCTTTGTCAGTGGGCAAATGTACAAAATCAGCAGGGGATCAAATACTTTTTTCCCTCACTGTAGAAGGGCAGAAACTGACGAACCTACATCCTATGACGGTGCCACGTTGAAAGTCACTGCGCTCTTCATTAAGGCCATTCTACTGCCAATGTTTGTATATAGAGATTGCATGGCTGTTAGCTCGATTGTATACACCTGTCAGCAATGGGTGTGCCTGAAATAGCCAAATCCACTAATTTGAAGCGGTGTCCACATACCTTTTTGTATGTGCATTCGAAAAGTATTCAGACCCCTTGACTTTTTCCACATTCTGTTACGTTACAGCCTTATTCTAAAATTCATTAAATCATTTTTTTTCCCTCATCAATCTACACATAATACCCCATAATGAGAAAGTAAAAACAGGGTTTTCTATTTTTTTGCAAATTTATCAAATAAAAAAGACAGCACATTTTACATAAGTATTCAGACCCTTTACTCCGTACTTTGTTGAAGCACCTTTTTGCAGCGATTACTGCCTTGAGTCTTCTTGGGTATGACGCTAAAAGCTTGGCACACCTGTATTTGGGGAGTTTCTCCCATTCTTCTCTGCAGATCCTCTCAAGCTCTGTCAGGTTTGATGGGGATTTTTTATTTCAGCTCGTGAAACATAGGACCAACACTTTACATGTTGCATTGACATTTTTGTTCAGTATAGCCTGTTAATAGTTTACAAACACATTATTCATGTGCTAGAAAGCTAAACAGCTAGCTAGCTTGGTGACTGCTGTGGCTAGCCAAAAAGGTTTGTTTGGCCTTTGAGGCTTTTAGTGTTCTTACACTGATTTTGAACATTCAAAGCAACTGGGAAACGTCCATGGCAGGCATTGTTGTCACCTTAGCTTGCTACATCTGACTGATATGAAGCACGAGCACCACCACCAGTCAGTCTACACCACTGCGCACACGCCCATTGTTACTATGACAACTAGCGTAGCCATGTCAGCAAACGACTGCTGTCTGAACACACACGTCAAATTTGTCAGTATTCCAAAACGGATTTGAAAAACCAAAACTGATTTGAGCATTAAGGCCTGCGGCGTGAGCAAGGCTTAAGTCGACCTCCAATGTCCCACCTGCTAAAACCACCCCCCATACCAGAAAGGTCTGTTGTCCCTCAGACCACCTCCTTACCCGTGACGTGCATTTTGCGTCCTTAACTGACTTTCAATGGCCGATTTTTGCCGTAGCTCAGAATGAAATAGGGACTGTCCCATGAAAAACCTGAATCAATGCTGCCATCCCTCAAGCGCCCAGCCAAATACCCTATGGGCCTTTGGCATGTCCATGAGAGGCGTGTCCTAATTTAACATTAGCCACATATCAGACAAAAAAAGAAAAACTAACATAGAAATGAAAATCGAAGGGAACAGAAAGAGACAAACCAGAGAAAAATAACTTAAGTAGTCTGCGGCCAATATGACCTAAAAACAGATACCCATATAACACAAAACTTGGAACATAATGTAAAATGATACTAATATCTAGTAATAGCAACAGTGATGACAATAATAATCATTCTAATAAGTCAATACAAAGTTAAAAAAATAATATAATAAATGCTCAATAAAAAACAAAAACAGTCTAACAGCTATTAGCAAGTTACCAAGATTCTACCTGCGATCTTCACCATTAGCAGTGTTGACAATGATAATAGTAATAATGATAGTAATATAAATCATCTCCATCACCGACGGCATCGATAACACCGTCAACACCCAATCACTACCAGATCCCACCAATTATACAATTGTGATCCACACTATTTAATGATAATGATGATAATAGTATTAATACTAGACTGAACTCTAAGAACACACTCACACATACTTACACACACAGTGCATTCAGAAAACATTTTGTTACGTTATTCTTATTCTAAAATGGATTAAATAAAAATCCTCATCAATCTACACACTATAATGACAAAGTGAAAACTGGTTTTTAGAAATGTTTGCAAATGTATTAAAAATAAAAACAGATACTTTTATTTACATAAATATTCAGACCCTTTGCTATGAGATTCTAAATTGAAGTTTGGAACCACCAAGACCATTCCTAAAGCTGGCCGCCCGGCCAAACTGCGCAATCGGTGGAGAAGGGCCTTGGTCAGGGAGGTGACCCAAGAACCCGACGGTCACTCTGACAGCGTTCCTCTGAAGATGGGAGAACCTTCCAGAAGGACAACCATCTCTGCAGCACTCCACCAATCAAGCCGTTATGGTAGTGGCCGAACGTAAGCCACTGCTCAGTAAAAGGAACATGACAGCCCACTTGGAGTTTACCAAAAGGCACCTAAAGGACTCTCAGACCATGAGAAACAAGATTCCCTGGTCTGATGAAACCAAGATTGAACTCGTTGGCCTGAATGCCAAGCGTCACGTCTGGAGGAAACCTGGCACCATCCCTACGGTGAAGCGTGGTGGTGGCCGCATCATGCTGTAGGGATGTTTTTCAGCGGCAGGGATTGGGAGAATAGTCAGGATCGAGGGAAAGATGAACGGAGCAAAGTACAGAGCGATCCTTGATGAAAACCTGCTCCAGAGCACTCATGACCTCAGACCGGGGTGAAGGTTCACCATCCAACAGGACAACGACCATAAGCACACAACCAAGACAACGCAGGAGTGGCTGCGGGACAAGTCTCAATGTCCTTGAGTGGCCCAGCCAGTGCCCGGACTTGAACCAGATCGAACATCTCTGGAGAGACCTGAAAATAGCTGTGCAACGATGCTCCCCATCAAACCTGACAGAGCTTGAGACGATCTGCAGAGAAGAATGGGAGACCAAATACAGGTGTGCCAAGCTTTTAGCGTCAAACCCAAGAAGATTCGAGGCTGTAATTGCTGCCAAAGGTGCTTCAACAAAGTACTGAGGAAAGGGTCTGAATACTGAATATAAAATGTGGAAAAAGTCACATTTTATATTCACACAGACGAGATGTGTCCCATTTATGTCTGTCGAAAACCAAACACTTCTTTCCACAGTAAGAACCTCATTCCAACGGTCAAGCATGGTGGTGGTAGTGTGATAGTATGGGGATGCTTTGCTACCTCAGGACCTGGACATCTTAACTTAATAGAAGGAACCATGAATTCTGCTCTGTATCAGAGAATTCTACAGGAGTATGTCAGGCCATCTGTCTGTGAGCTGAAGCGCAGCTGGGTCATGCAGCAAGACAATGCTCCAATACACAAATCTACATGAAAGTGGTTAAAAAGCAACACATCTGAAGTTTTGGAATAGCCTAGTCAAAGTCCAGACTTAATCCCAATTGAGATGTTGTGGCAGGACTTGAAACGAGTTGTTCATGCTTGAAAACAAACGTTTTGCTGAGTTAAAACTGTTCTGCATGCAAGAGTGGGCCAAAATTCCTCCACAGCGATGTGAGACTGATCAACAACTACAGCAAGCATTTGGTTGCAGTCATTGCAGCTAAAGGTGGCACAACCAGTTATTGAGTGTAAGGGGGCAATTACTTTTTCACAAAGGGGAATTGGGTGTTGTGTAACTTTTAGTTAACCAAAAAAATTGATACTTATTTAATTTAATTATTTGTATACTCCGGTTCCCTTTATCTAATATTAGGTTTTGGTTGAAGATCTGTAACATTCAGTATGAAAAATATGCATAAATTGAGAATCAGAAAGGGGGCAAATACTTCTTCACAGCACTGTATATAACATGATTTTTAATCACATCAATAATTATTACTATATAGCTGCTGATGATAATAACAATGACAATGGTAATAATAATCTCAACAACAATATAATACATTTGAAATTTGTAATAAAACAAATTAATATATTTTCTAAAATTGGTTTTATGTGAAATTTCAAAAAATGAACTAGTGGTTCTCAAACCTCTCCTCGGGGACGCCCAGCCATACCATGTATTTTATATGTTCCAGAGCTACTGTAGCACAACTGATACAACTTATCAACAAATTATCAAGCCCTCTGTGAATCGGTGAGGTAGTTCAGGGCTACAACAAAATTGTGACACGTTGGGTGGTCCCAGAGGAGAGGTTTGAGAACCACTAGCTTACGGCATACATTTGTACTTAAGTGTGTAATAAATAGTATGTATGTTGTATGGTTAGTACGTTTAGTAAGCAGTTGGCCTGAACGATTTCGGACATAGCCATAGCCTCCCCTCCTCTCTCAGCTGTGCCCTACTTCTGTCCCCCTCAGTAAGGCCAAGCACACTTTTATACCCTGCGTGAGTAATTACCTCTCTCTCCTCCTCTCCCCCCTGTCGCAGGAGCCTCCTGAAGATGAGGCAAACATTATTGAGAAAATCCTGTCGGTTCGAAACGTGAAGAAAGAGGTACGCCGCCCGACATAAAAACACACACACTAGCAACAGGGTCTGTGTGGATTAGCGACGTGTGTATACTTTATTTGATATTTTGTTTTTTTTCTTCTTCTTCTTTTGAGGCGTCCCCTGAGGAGACAACTGAGGAGTTGGAGGAGTTCTATGTCAAGTACAGAAATTTGTAAGTGTGCTTAGCTAGGTGGAAGACCCCAGTGACATTAGTCTATTTGATAACAGATCAAATAGTGAGATTCCTTTGAATGATATTCTGGTGTATGACATGAGGTTAGAGCTCTTGAGGTTTTCAAAGCTGCACCCTTCAAAATGAGCATTTTCTCATGTTTAGCTATGTTCTACGACGTATTTCCACGTTCTTAAAACCGGGGGGGGGGTTCTGCTAAGCTATTATATGGAATTGTTTTAAGATAGTCATTCCACTGACAATTTTGGCTATTTCATTTTGAAATGTAGAACCCTTGTAGGTATATATTTTTTTTATGAAACATTGAATTTGGCCTTTCTGCTGTTAGCCCATATAAACACATTGAAGAATACATTCATAGATGGCAAAACAGATAAAAAAATCAAAAAAAGATTACGTACAGACATCAAAACACTAAATGAGTTGAAATTTTGATGATGACCTGCTCAAAAAATAAGAACTAACAACATGTAAGTATTGTACCGACTATTGCACTGCCCCCCCACCCATTTTTCGCTGCTGCTACTAGTAGTACTTTCTAGTCACTTTAACACTACCACATGTAAATTACCTCAATACTCAACTAGGGTGCCCCCGCACATGACTCCAAACCCTGTATATATAGCTCCCTACTGTCACTTTATTTACTGTAATATCCTCCATACTGTCAATTTACTTCTGTCTTTTTTCTCAACCTTTTTTGTTGGTTTTTTCTACTTTTTTTTATAAAAATGCACTGTTGGTAAGGGCTGTAATACATTTACACATGTCTGCACCTGTTGTACCGCATGACCATAAAATTTTTTATTGATCCAATCACACTTCTGTGAATCAAATAGTCCACTTAGGAAGCAACATGATTAACAACTAAATTTTCACATGCTGTTGTGCAAATGAATAGACAACAGTGGAAAATTATAGGCAATTGAGCAAGACACCCCCATAAAGAAGTGGTTCTGCAGGTGGTGACCACAGAACACAAGCTTCTCAGTTCCTATTGCTTACCTTGGCTGATGTTTGCGTCACTTTTGAATCGATGCCGGTGCTTTCACTTAGTGGTAGCATGAGACGGAGTCTACAACCCACACAAGTGGCTCAGGTAGTGCAGCTCATCCAGGATGGCACATCAATGCGAGCTGTGGCAAGAAGGTTTGCTGTGTCTGTCAGCGTAGTGTCCAGAGCATGGAGGCGCTACCAAGAGACAGGCCAGTACATCAGGAGACGTGGTGGAGGCCGTAGGAGGGCAACAACCCAGCAGCAGGACCGCTACCTCCACCTTTGTGCAAGGAGGAGCAGGAGGAGCACTGCCAGAGCCCTGCAAAATGACCTCCAGCAGGCCACAAATGTGCATGTGTCTGCTCAAACGGTCAGAAACAGACTCCATGAGGGTGGTATGAGGGCCCGACATCCACAAGGTGGGGGTTGTGCTTACAGCCCAACACCGTGCAGGACGTTTGGCATTTGCCAGAGAACACCAAGATTGGCAAATTCGCCACTGGCGCCCTGTGCTCTTCACGGATGAAAGCAGGTTCACACTGAGCACATGTGACAGACGTGACAGAGTCTGGAGACGCCGTGGAGAACGTTCTGCTGCCTGCAACATCCTCCAGCATGACCGGTTTGGCGGTGGGTCAGTCATGGTGTGGGGTGGCATTTCTTTGGGGGGCCGCACAGCCCTGCATGTGCTCGCCAGAGGTAGCCTGACTGCCATTAGGTACCAAGATGAGATCCTCAGACCCCTTGTGAGACCATATGCTGGTGCGGTTGGCCCTGGGTTCCTCCTAATGCAAGACAATGCTAGACCTCATGTGGCTGGAGTGTGTCAGCAGTTCCTGCAAGAGGAAGGCATTGATGCTATGGACTGGCCCGCCCGTTCCCCAGACCTGAATCCAATTGAGCACATCTGGGACATCATGTCTCGCTCCATCCACCAACGCCACGTTGCACCACAGACTGTCCAGGAGTTGGCGGATGCTTTAGTCCAGGTCTGGGAGGAGATCCCTCAGGAGACCATCCGCCACCTCATCAGGAGCATGCCCAGGCGTTCTAGGGAGGTCATACAGGCACGTGGAGGCCACACACACTACTGAGCCTCATTTTGACTTGTTTTAAGGACATTACATCAAAGTTGGATCAGCCTGTAGTGTGGTTTTCCACTTTAATTTTGAGGGTGACTCCAAATCCAGACCTCCATGGGTTGATACATTTGATTTCCATTGATAATTTTTGTGTGATTTTGTTGTCAGCACATTCAACTATGTAAAGAAAAAAGTATTTAATAAGATTATTTGATTCATTCAGATCTAGGATGTGTTGTTTAAGTGTTCCCTTTATTTTTTTTGAGCAGTGTATATGTATATATATATGTGTGTGTGTATATATATATGTGTGTGTATATATATATGTGTATATATATATGTATATGTATGTGTGTGTGTGTGTATATACAGTGAAGGAAAAAAGTATTGGATCCCCTGCTGATTTTGTACGTTTGCCCACTGACAAAGACATGATCAGTCTATAATTTTAATGGTAGGTTTATTTGAACAGTGAGAGAGAATAACAACAAAATCCAGAAAAACGAGTGTCAAACATGTTATAAATTGATTTGCATTTTAATGAGGGAAATAAGTATTTGATCCCTCTGCAAAACATGACTTAGTACTTGGTGGCAAAACCCTTGTGGCAATCACAGAGGTCAGACGTTTCTTGTAGTTGGCCACCAAGTTTGCACACATCTCAGGAGGGATTTTGTCCCACTCCTCTTTGCAGATCTTCTCCAAGTCATTAAGGTTTCGAGGCTGACGTTTGGCAACTCGAACCTTCAGCTCCCTCCGGCTAGGCCACTCCAGGACCTAAATGTGCTTCTTCTTGAGCCACTCCTTTGATGCCTTGGCCGTGTGTTTTGCGTCATTGTCATGCTGGAATACCCATCCACGACCCATTTTCAATGCCCTGGCTGAGGGGAGGAGATTCTCACCCAAGATTTGACGGTACATGGCCCCGTCCATCGTTCCTTTGATGCGGTGAAGTTGTCCTGTCCCCTTAGCAGAAAAACACCCCCAAAGCATAATGTTTCCACCTCCATGTTTGACGGTGGGGATGGTGTTCTTGGGGTCTTAGGCAGCATTCCTCCTCCACCAATTGTTTTCTTGGTGACTATGGTCCCAGCTGCCTTGAGATCATTGACAAGATCCTCCCGTGTAGTTCTGGGCTGATCAATCACCGTTCTCATGATCATTGCAACTCCACGAGGTGAGATCTTGCATGGAGCCCCAGGCCGAGGGAGTTTTTGTTTCTTCCATTTGCGAATAATCGCACCAACTGTTGTCACCTTCTCACCAAGCTGCTTGGCGATGGTCTTGTAGCCCATTCCAGCCTTGTAGCCCATTCCAGCCTTGTGTAGGTCTACAATCTTGTCCCTGACATCCTTGGAGAGCTCTTTGGTCTTGGCCATGGTGGAGAGTTTGGAATCTGATTGATTGATTGCTTAGAGCATAACGGAGAATACCGTGTTCTAAAGAGTCATCTTTCCATAGAGGGGTCATATTTGTTTCTAGCCCAAATTGTTCGGATTCTGCAGACATTTTCGTGAGAATACTGATTTTCAGGATGTCTTATGGTCTGACAAACACCGCTGTAGCTCTGTCACCTTCCACCGCAAATGCAGAAGGCCGACAATGGCAGATGCGGTGGATTGAGAGCCATCTCTATCTTAAACAGGGGGTTAAGTGTTTTAATTAGGTTTACTTGTTGCATTGTGTACTCTGCTTGAGATGCTTGGATAAACACTCAAGATTGATACTGTGTAGTGCTTTTGCATCCTTTTGTCTAATTACTCTTATTTCAATAAAGTTAAAGGCCAATGTATCCCCTTTTCCTCTTGAATATTTTTATTGAACCATCCTTCCACTTTTGCTCACAGCTCCTATCTGCATTGTAAATGGGCGACATTGGAGGAGTTGGAGAAGGACCCTCGCATCCACCAAAAAATCAAGCGCTTCAGGACTAAGCAGGCCCAAATTAAGCACATATTCGTTGAGGTGAAGCTAGTCTTATCTTACGTTCTTCTGAGATAATATGATTTTATGTATATGAAAATGAAAATGTCAAATGAAAATGTACTGTATGGCTACGCTTTGACAGTGGATTTTATTTGTAGTTGTGTACATTTGTACTTGGCATCAAACAAATATGTACACCAATACAAATAAAAAAACACTGTCCCAGCGTAGCCATTCAATACATTTTCATATGACATAAAAAAACCACATTTATAGCTACGTAAGGTATCACATGAAATTGATTATATTGATTGAAGTCTACTCCTCCATGTAGCCGAATGAAGACCTCTTTAACCCTGACTACATAGAAGTGGACCGAGTTCTGGAGGTGGCCATCACTACAGACACAGAGACAGGAGAGGTGAGACAGGGAAAGCCAGTTACTCACCACAAGTGAGGGGCGTGTGTGTGTGTGTGTGTGTGTGTTTGGGAACGTGTGCTTCAGTCAGTGCATCTGACTGGCTAATTCTGGATCTATGTGTGTTTGACTGACTCATTGACTGTCACTATATCTTGCTGTGTGTGTGTGCGCGTGCGTGCATGTGTGTGTTTACAGGAGGTGACACACTACCTGGTTAAGTGGTGCTCCCTGTCCTATGAGGAGGCTACATGGGAGCTTCAGGAAGACGTGGACCCGGTAAAGATTCGGGAGTTCGAGGATATCAAGAGAATCCCTGAATTCAAATTTGTGGTGAGTGGGAAAGAGAAACTCCTTCCCCTGTAATTTACAACACACAGGAATGTGTCTGAATTGTGTGTTCTGTTGTTGATGAGTAGCTTTTGAGGTGTCAATGTGTGTGATTGTGAGTTGGTAAGGTATTCTGTGCATTTCTGTGTGCTCGCGCAGTGCGTGTACCTGTCCAGTCGACCTCAATGTGTGTGTGATGCTGTTATTTGAGATTGCCAATCCCTGTGTGTGTGTGTGTGTGTGTGTGTGTGTGTGTGTGTGTGTGTGTACTCTGAGCAGGAAAGACCTCAGCCAGACAAGTGGCAGAAGCTGGACAAGTCCAAAGACTATCGAAGCGGGAACCAGCTGAGAGAGTACCAGCTGGAGGGCATGAACTGGCTGCTCTTCAACTGGTACAACAGGTAGGAAACCTGGGGCTCCTCCTCCCCCAAATCTATACATAGTCCCCCCCCCCCCCATGTATAGTAGACTTACTGCCTTACTGCTCAGGTAGTAATCCACCACTAAACACTTATTGTAGATAAACAATCTGATGGGTGAGGTACAGTAATGTTCCTGAATATGTTTTTCTAAGGTTTTGATCAGTAACCATGGTCAAATACTGTCGATTTGGGGCCAGATAGCACTGCATTTTGCTTTGTGCTTGTGTTTTCCAATAGGTAATGTAGTTTTGTTTTGACTGTTGTAATTTGGTTTATTCTGATTTGATTGGATGTTCTGGTCCTGAGGCTTCAGTGTTTTCGTAGAACAGGTTTGTGAACTCAGCCCCAGGACCAGCTGGATGAGGGGACTTTGCTCAGCTCTTGGTATTGTAGGGCTTAGTAATGATATGAGAGTGGATCACTGTATTTTTTAAAATTATTATTGGGTATTGGCCTAAATCTGCTCTGGACATGTAGGAGAATCTTACAGAACTCTGCATGCAGGATTTAAATGGGGAGATTGTCCCATTGGGCGAAATATTGTTTTGCAAGTGGACCCCACAACTCGCTGCCATAAAGTGCAATTGGTTCAATGACACATTCAATTTGTTTTAGCCAAATTTGTATAGGTATTTCAGTTTGGATTCATTTTTAATGCTGTAGAATGCCCTGCGTGATTTCTCTCTGTTCATTCACCTCATTTAGGTGTCCAGTTGAGCTTATTTTAAACCTAAGTAATTGTAGTGTGTGCAATACTCTATATATTTTGTACCAATTGAGAACTTTGGTCTAATTCCCTGAGATCTGGATCGTCTCTGGAAAATCATTATTTTGGTTTTTTGGGGGTTTACTGCCCAGGCCCAGGTCTGGCAGTACTGCTCTAGCAGGTCCAGTCTCTGCTGTAGGCCATGTGCTGTGGGTGACAGCAGGCACAGGTCATCTGCGAAGAGCAGGCATTTAACCTCTGAACTGTGGAGACTAACACCATGGGCTGAGGATTTTTCTAGAATAGTGTCCAATTCGTTGATGTAAATATTGAAGAGCGCAGGGCTCAGATTGCAACCCTGTCAAAGACCCCGCCCCTGGTTAAATAATTATGTTATTTTCTTGCCAATTGTGATGCTGCACGTATTGCCAGTATACATTGACTTAATTATGTCATGTTTTACCCCCTACACCACTTTCAATGACTTTGTAGAACAGTCCTGTATGCCAAATAGAATCAAATGGTTTTTGGAAGTCGATAAAGAAAGTGTATATTTTGGAATTATTTTAGTTTATTGGTCGTGCAATGTTTTGGTATGAATCCAATTAGGCTTTTACTCACTACATTGTGCTTATTAACCTCTTCAAGCGTGAGATCCAAATATATATAACGGTCGCCCCAGCCTGAGGTTTTTTTTTTTTTTATGCGCATGATGTCAGAATGTACTCACTGTTCCAAAATGTGATTGTTACACAACAGGACAGTTGACCCGCGCTGCCCTCAAATCAAGACACATGCTGCCTGCTAATTATCTGTAGGCTATATGTGACCAACCGCCTTGATTCGGTCTTATGTAGCAAAATCCAGAGTGTTGGTGACTGTAACTGTGCTGCTGGCAACAATTTAATTATTCTGCGCTCTGGCATACTCAGACTGAATTTACGAACGCACCTGAAATGGTTACTTGCATAGTAGAGTCTTTTTTAAGACATGTAGCTGGCTAGATAGGTAAACAATGAAACTAGCTAGGTAAAAAAAGTGTCAAAGTCAAACCCTACACGTAACGTTAGCTAGCGAGCCAGCCAGCTAACATTAGCTAGCTAGCTAAACAATGAACCATAATCCCAACTCATGACGTTACTACCCTGCATGAATCTACAGGTAGCTAACCAACCAGGTTCAATATTAGCAAGCAAATGGCTCTGAGATACGAATAATAAGAGAATACACGTAACGTTAGCTAGCGAGCCAGCCAGATAACGTTAGCTAGATAGCTAACAGTACACTTTAACTTGAAATGAAACCACTTTCTGCCAAAATTAGAAAATGTAGCTAGCTAGATTATTTTACCCGTATACATCATGCATGATTGACGCGTCTCCCTGTCACGGATGCCATGGTTTCCCTTCATTTGAAGATGTAATCTGGAGACAGGTGTTTTCTCCATCTCGTTGGCTATCATACTCTAATTCCACAGATTTCAAAACTCGATCCTCCAGAAAGTGGAGAGCAACACTTATGCAGCTCCAATACACGATACATTTAAAAAAGCTGCATTAGACAGGATTACCTACACATACTGACCAGTTCAAATAGACAAAGCGTGCTATATGGCAGACCAATCCTCTCTCCTCTCTCGACATGTCCAGCCCACTCATTATCTCAGTCAATCATGACTAGTGGCTCGTAATTTAACAATTGTATTCATATTTACAGATGCCATACAATTTTGTTATTAAGGCACATGAAAGTTCACATGTTCCTGAAGGCATTTGTGCCAGAAAACTAATTTTGATTAAAAAAAAGTTTACGTTCAAATGGCTTTCCTGTGAGGTAGTGACCCGCGACATATGCCTAGTTTACTGAAACGAGTCACATATTTGAACTTGTCAATTTGAAATTATTTTCTAACAGTTTGAATTGAGGTGTGTTCCGCCTCCTCAGTAATTCACATAGAATGTAGCCCATTTCACTGTTGCGGACAATTTATGTTTGAGACTTTACTGAACCGGACAAAATTCTCTCTTCGATGAGAGCCCAAGCACCTCCCCCAGATCAAGTATGCAGACATTTGCACAGTCTAGCACTAACTTTTTCCCCCTGGCACATTTCCTGGCTGGTGCTCGCATTGCCTTCATTGTTGTTTTTCTTACGAATTTTGGACGTGTGCGTTCCTCTCAAAGTAAATGCCTTATTTTCTGTATATCGTGTTGTCGTTTCTATTGTAGTATACCATATGTATGTATGTAGCATAATGTATTTACTGTTTTATTTACATGCTTTCACGTACTGGTGAGAAATAATGCATTCCGATTCTTGCATAGATTGTAATGGAAACACATATGATGTGTGTAAAATACTTTCTTGAATGTTGAAATTTAGAACGCTTACATTTATAATACTACAGAAGTTCATACAAATGCCTCTGTAATTGTTAGGGTCACTCACTCAATCACACTGTCTCTCTCTTTCATTCACTCTCACGCTGACTCTCACTCACTCTCTCACATGCAGTATGACTCACACACACACACACACCAGATCAAAAACCCAAAACATATGTTAACACATGGTGAATAGCACATGCTGCAAAAGCACGTGGTGCTTTTTTGGACAGTTATCATCCTAGATAGACTACTAACACATATTGAAATCAGGCATGATCAAAAGGGTAGATCAGGTGTGCAAAGGAACTATCGTGACAGATTTAACATGTAATCTGTCAAGTCTGAGATGGAGGGGATGAAATCTTCTGGTGCGGTGGTGGATTAACTTTGCACTGCCAACCTGTGAAATAGTTGCATCCAAAACATCATTAGATACCTCCATGACATGTTGTCATTCAGTGCAGCTTGTATTGTATACAGGTGGGCTTCTTGGGAAGGTGCTGGGGAATGGCTTTGGCAGAGGCTTTTTGACGGTTGGTACTTATCTGTTACTTCAGTTCAGTACAGATTTGAAAATCTCAGCCCCCAAAATCAAACCGAGTTGGCTGGCCAGCACACGTGAGATTTGGTTCAAGGTTCGGAGATTATCTCTACTCTCCCTCAGCAGGCCACTATGATTAAGGTCACCCCCTCCCACCCCTTTTTGTTTTGTTTGAAAATATTTTTGTGAGTTTGACACCACAGTTTTCCCACCTCTTCCCGTACAGGAAGAACTGCATCCTGGCTGACGAGATGGGCCTGGGGAAGACCATCCAGTCCATCACCTTCCTCTTCGAGATGTTCTCCATGGGCCTGCGGGGACCCTTCCTCATCATCGCCCCCCTTTCCACCATCACCAACTGGGAGAGGGAGTTCCGCACCTGGACGGAGATCAACGTCATCGTCTACCACGGCAGCCAGATCAGCCGCCAGATGATCCACCAGTATGAGATGTACCACAAGGACCAGCAGGTGAGCCAACATGGTCTGTGTGTGTGTGTGTGTGTGTGTGTGTGTGTGTGTGTGTGTGTGTGTGTGCGTGCGTGCGTGCGACAGTAGGCAGCTGTGAGATGTATCACAAGGCCCAGCAGGTGAGACAATGGTGCGTGCATGTGTGGGGTGTGAGACAGTATGTTGGGCAGATGCAGTGTGTGCATGCATACTAAAATGCAAAGGTTCCTGAAGTGAGCCATTGTATGTGAATGTATGAAATTGCACCACTGTGTATGTACAGTGGGGAGAACAAGTATTTGATACACTGCCGATTTTGCAGGTTTTCCTACTTACAAAGCGTGTAGAGGTCTGTCATTTTTATCATAGGTACACTTCAACTGTGAGAGACGGAATCTAAAAAAAAATCCAGAAAATCACATTGTATGATTTTTAAGTAATTAATTTGCATTGTATTGCATGACATAAGTATTTGATACATCAGAAAAGCAGAACTTAATATTTGGTACAGAAACCTTTGTTTGCAATTTCAGAGATCATACATTTCCTGTAGGTCTTGACCAGGTTTGCACACACTGCAGCAGGGATTTTGGCCCACCCCTCCATACAGACCTTCTCCAGATCCTTCAGGTTTCGGGGCTGTCGCTGGGCAATACGGACTTTCAGCTCCCTCCAAAGATGTTCTATTGGGTTCAGGTCTCGAGACTGGCTAGACCACTCCAGGACCTTGAGATGCTTCTTACGGAGCCACTCCTTAGTTGCCCTGGCTATGTGTTTCGGGTCGTTGTCATGCTGGAAGACCCAGCCACGACCCATCTTCAATGCTCTTACTGAGGGAAGGAGGTTGTTGGCCAAGATCTCGCGATACATGGCCCCATCCATCCTCCCCTCAATACGGTGCAGTCGTCCTGTCCCCTTTGCAGAAAAGCATCCCCAAAGAATGATGTTTCCACCTCCATGCTTCACGTTTGGGATGGTGTTCTTGGGGTTGTACTCATCCTTCTTCTTCCTCCAAACACGGCGAGTGGAGTTTAGACCAAAGAGCTCTATTTTTGTCTCATGAGAGCACATGACCTTCTCCCATTCCTCCTCTGGATCATCCAGATGGTCATTGGCAAACTTCAGACGGGCCTGGACATGCGCTGGCTTGAGCAGGGGGACCTTGCGTGCGCTGCAGGATTTTAATTCATGACGGCGTAGTGTGTTACTAATGGTTTTCTTTGAGACTGTGGTCTCAGCTCTCTTCAGGTCATTGACCAGGTCCTGCCGTGTAGTTCTGGGCTGATCCCTCACCTTCCTCATGATCATTGATGCCCCATGAGGTGAGATCTTGCATGAAGCCCCAGACCGAGGGTGATTGACCGTCGTCTTGAACTTCTTCCATTTTCTAATAATTGCGCCAACAGTTGTTGCCTTCCCACCAAGCTGCTTGCCTATTGTCCTGTAGCCCATCCCAGCCTTGTGCATGTCTACAATTTTATCCCTGATGTCCTTACACAGCTCTCTGGTCTTGTGGGGAGGTTGGAGTCTGTTTGATTGAGTGTTTGTACAGGTGTCTTTTATACAGGTAACGAGTTCAAACCGGTGCAGTTAATACAGGTAATGAGTGGAGAACAGGAGGGCTTCTTAAAGAAAAACGAACAGGTCTGTGAGAGCCGGAATTCTTACTGGTTGGTAGGTGATCAAATACTTATGTCATGCAATAAAATGCAAATTAATTACTTAAAAATCATACAATGTGATTTACAACATCCCAAATCAAATTTTATTGGTCACATACACGTGTTTAGCAGAAGTTATTGCGGGTGTAGCGAAATGCTTGTGTTTCTAGCTCCGACTGTGCAGTACTATCTAACAATTTCACAACATATACCCAATACACACAAATCTAAGTAAAGCAATGGAATTAAGAATATATGAATAAATATATGGACGAGCAATGTCAGAGCGGCATAAACTAATATATAGTAGAATAGTATACAGTATATACATATGAGATGAGTAATGCAGGATATGTAAACATTAAAGTGACTAGTGTTCCATTTATTAAAGTGGCCAGTGATTTCTATTCTTTGTATATAGGCAGCAGCCTCTAACGTGCTAGTGAATGCTATTTAACAGTCTGATGGCCTTGAGATAGCTGTTTTTCAGTCTCTCGGTCCCAGCTTTGATGCACCTGTACTGACCTCATTTTACATTTACATTTTAGTCATTTAGCAGACTCTCTTATCCAGAGCGACTTACAGTTAGTGAGTGCATACATATATATTTTTTTATACTGCCCCCCCGTAGGAATCGAACCCACAACCCTGGCGTTGCGAACACCATGCTCTACCAACTGAGCTACACCTCGCCTTCTGGATCAGCAGGGTGAACAGGCAGTGTGGTTGTTGTCCTTGATTATCTTTTTGGCCTTCCTATGACATGGGTGCTGTAGGTGTCCTGGAGTGCTGGTAGTTTGCACCAAGTGATGCGTTGGGCAGACCGCACCACCCTCTGGAGAGTCCTGCGGTTGCAGGCGGTCCAGTTGCCGTACCAGGCGGTGATACAGCCCGACAGGATGCTCACAATTGTGCATCTGTAAAGGTTTGTGAGGGTTTTAGGTGCCAAGCCACATTTCTTAAGCCTCCTGAGGTTGAAGAGGCGCTGTTCAGCCTTCACCACACTGTCTGTGTGGGTGGACATTTCAGTTTGTCAGTGATATGTACGCCGAGGAACTTGAAGCTTTCCACCTTCTCCACTGCTGTCCCGTCGATGTGGATAAAAGGGTGCTCCCTCTGCTGTTTCCTGAAGTCCACGATCATCTCCTATGTTTGGTTGATGTTGAGTGAGAGGTTATTTTCCTGGCACCACACTCCCAGAGCCCCTACCTTCTCCCTTTAGGCTTACTCATCATTGTTGGTAATCAAGCCTACTACTTTTGTGTCGTCTGCAAACTTGATGATTTAGTAGGAGGCGTGCTTGGCCACGCAGTCATGGGTTAACAGGGAGTACAGGAGGGGGCTGAGCACGCACCCTTGTGGGGCCCCAGTGTTGAAGATCAGCGAAGTGGAGGTGTTGTTTCCTACCTTCACCACCTGGGGGTGGCCCGTCAGGAAGTCCAGGACCCAATTGCACAGGGCGGGGTTCAGACCCAGGGCCTCCACACAGCATGATGCTCCCACCACCATGCTTCACCGTAGGGATGGTGCCAGGTTTCATCCAGACGTGACGCTTGACATCAGGCCAAAGAGTTCAATCTTGGTTTCATCAGACCAAAGAATCTTGTTTCTCATGGTCTGAGAGTCCTTTAGGTGCCTTTTGGCAAACTCCAAGCGGGCTGTCATGTGCCTTTTACTGAGGAGTGGCTTACGTCTGGCCACTCTACCATAATGGCCTGATTGGTGGAGTGATGCAGAGATGGTTGTCCTTCTGGAAGGATCTCCCATGTCCACAGAGGAACTCTGGAGCTCTATCAGTGACCATCGGGTTCTTGGTCACCTCCCTGACCATGGCCCTTCTCCCCCGATTGCTCTAGGAAGGGTCTTGGTGGTTCCAAACTTCTTCCATTTAAGAATGATGGAGGCCATTGTGTTCTTGGGGACCTTCAATGCTGCAGACATGTTTTGGTACCCTTCCCCAGATCTGTGCCTCGGCACAATCCTGTCTCGGAGCTCTACGGACAATTCCTTCGACGTGATGGCTTGGTATTTGCTCTGACATGCACTGTCAGCTGTGGGACCTTATATAGATAGGTGTGTGCCTTTCCAAATCATGTACAATCAAATGAATTTACCACAAGTGGACTCCAAGTTGTAGAAACATCTCAAGGATGATCAATGGAAACAGGAGGTACCTGAGCTCAATTTCGAGTCTCATAGCAAACGGTCTGAATATTTATGCAATAAAACCTGTTTTCGCTTTGTTATTATGGGGTATTGTGTGTAGATTGATGAAGGGGGGAAAAAACAATTTAATCAATTTTAGAATAAGGCTGTAACGAAAACAAAATGTTGAAAATGACTGAATACTTTCCTAATTCACTGTACTTCTATTAATTTTTTTAAACTGGTACAGGGACCTTCAGACTAGTCGTATGTGGTTTGTGGGCATCCTAGAGCAAAACAACCAACATGTACGTGTTCTTGAGAGTCTCTCCTTTACTCATATTAGTGTGTAGCCCAAACTGATCGGACACTACAGACAGAAGTTGACAGATCGGTTCTACCGTCTTCAGACGAATTCCAAGACGCTTGTGGGGTTCGTAGAGCAAAACGGAGACACCATCGTGTTTGTGAGAGTCTCATCTTTGGTTTGTGGGCCAAAATGTTAGGACACTAAATACGTTTTCGTGAGAAAACCGATTTTCGGGATGTGTCATGGTCTGACAAACACCGTTCTAGCTCTGCCACCTTTTACCGCAGATGTGGAAGTGCGGCATTGGCTGATGCGGTGGATTGAGATGCATCCAATGCAACAACAAAAAAACATCTCTAGCTTAAACTGACAGATTGTTATGGATTTTTTTTATTATGCTAAGTAGATTTCCGCAGGGCCACGGAAATCGACTCTAGGGGGTTAAACCCAGACTTGAACCACACACCCTCTCCAACGAATAGCAGTCAGGGGAAGCAAAATATTGATTGCTTTGCAACGCTCGCAGTTAGCCACTGATTCCTTCCAAACCATCCTTCCAAACCACTCATTCGTCTTGTTGTGTAATGTTAATTTCCAATGGCCGATGAGCACCGATACATTTGATCTGTATTTTCTCTTCATATGCTAGCTAAGATTTTGAAGTATGATATTGACATGATCAGTACAATCAAAGCTACAGTAGATATAATGTGATTTGACGTCATTTTATCTGTGTCCAATGACCTTGAGCCTTCTTGGACAGGCACTTCTACTGTAAATCTATGGCAGCACCCAAAGGGGCTTGAACTGCCTTGCTCTCCCTGTAGATTCCGCGGTGATGTAGTGTCCCCATGAGTGACAGAACACTGAGCCAATCACGGTGCAACTAGAGAAGATTACCAACGCCTACGCTCTGTGCTTTCGCTGGCTGCCCCGCCACCACAGAAAGCACTGAGCTAGGCTGAAACACCTGCTTTTTGGAGCTGCCTTACTCAAGAAAGAGACCATGTTTGTATGCGGCTTTATTAATTTTTTCTTCTACATTGTTTGTAATGGCCCGTCCCTTAAAAGGGCAACTGAAAAATTCTCACCTAATGATTGTGCTTGATTGAGCATGGATCACTCCTAAAAACCTTTATTCATTAACTTTAATTAATTTCTTATCATTTAAACACTCAAATACTTTAATTGTTCTCCTAAATATATTTGTGTGCTTCATTTCTACTTGTACTCCTTGTAAAAAAATGTCAGCGTAGAGCCCTGAACTATAATAAATAAGCCATATCACTCCGCCTTTTGTGGCAGGTTAGGCATTTTGTTGATTCTTGATGTTCAGTTGTAGAACTGTTTCTGTTTTTACTATTGTATCTAAATGATTTATTTTAACATACATTGGTTAAAAGAAGCAGGTCACAAAAATGAAATGAAATTAAGAAATGACTTCTTACTAGTAATACATTTATTGTTTTAGAAAAACGAAGCATGTTCATCCGTATTAGTTTTTTGGGGTTGTAATTATGGCGCAAAATATTTTGGCTGGTAAAGAATCCTGAGTGGCTGGGAGATTTTAAAAATCTACCTGCCACAGTGGCTGGAGGACCAAAAAGTTAATTTCCCACCCTTATTAGAGAGTGCAGTGGAACCTGGCTACTAGTATCTCGAGAAATGTGTTTCCGTGGTACTGACAATATCTGCACTTCATGCTTCTCGAGTGCTTTTAAGGAACTCATGTTGAGGAGGTAGTCTCAAGGTAAGGTGTTTTGAAGTAATGGAAGAGAGCTTTAATGGATGCGTAATGCCCCTGACCCACTTCCAGCTCAGCCCCGAATAAATGTTACCTGAATGTTTTGCTGCGGTAAAGGGGACACACAGAGTGCCGTGTGGCAGCAAGCACAATTGCAGGTTTGATTATTGTCTTCTAACGTTACAAGATAGATCAACTTCACCGAAGAATGCCTGGCATTATGGAATGCACATCAGGGATAATGAATATTACGCATTTTGATATTTGATCAGGGAGGACCGCAATGTGTTGCCACTGCAATTCTCTTGATTTTACCATGGTAGGATTACACTTATTTAGGACCAGAACTGTACTTACATCTGCCCTCATTGCGGACAAATTCACAGCATTCATCAAAGTGTTTAAATAATTGCTCTAAAAAAGTGTTTAAGAAGTGTTAAAGCATTCTCAATTCCTTTTTTCCCCCAATCTTTCCTTTTCTTCCACCTTTATCTTTTTCTGTATATAGGGAAACATAGTGTTGGGAGGGTACAAGTTCCACGGGGTGATCACCACCTTTGAGATGATCATGGCCGACTGCCCGGAGCTGAAGAAGATCCACTGGCGCTGCGTGATCATCGACGAGGCCCACCGCCTCAAGAACCGCAATTGTAAACTCCTGGAGGGCCTCAAGCTCATGAACCTGGTGAGGGGGGTAGCTAGCTAACTCTCTTGACCGTCTGCATTGTTCTTTGTAGTCAATTCAGTGCAGCACCAGCCAAGGCTAATAGTAGCATGGATGCCCTCCCTTGGCCCCGTGTAGCTCAGTTGGTAGAGCATGGCGCTTGCAACGCCAGGGTTGTGGGTTCGTTTCCCACGGGGCGCCAGTATGAAACAAATAAAAAATGTATGCACTCACTAACTGTAAGTCGCTCTGGATAAGAGCGTCTGTTAAATGACTAAAATGTAAATGTCAAGAGGGAAGTACAGCAGAAAAATCTAATTGAAATCAGCCAGACTAACGAGTGGGATCGCTGAGTTGGATGATACATACCAAGTTGTCTTTGAGTATCATGAAAAAAAAACTATAAACCCTAACCCCTGTAGGAACACAAGGTCCTCCTGACAGGCACCCCCCTGCAGAACTCCGTGGAGGAGCTCTTCAGTCTGCTCAACTTCCTGGAGCCCCTACAGTTCCCCTCAGAGAGCCTCTTCCTGGAGGAGTTTGGAGATCTGAAGACTGAGGAACAGGTGATTTTCTCAGGGGGTACCCTTTTAGGGTTGAACAAATCTGGGAAAAGGTGGGAAACTTTCCTTTGGAATTAATGGGAATTTACAGGAATGTATAGGAAACTTGCCATGTGAAAATACAGGAATCTATGGGAATGTTGATTCTTCCTTATACAGTTGAAGTCGGAAGTTTACATACACTTAGGTTCGAGTCATTAAAACTCGTTTTTCAACCACTCCACAAATATATTTTTAACAAACTATAGTTTTGGCAAGTCGGTTAGTACATCTACTTTGTGCATGACACAAGTAATTTTTCCAACAATTGTTTACAGATTATTTCACTTATAATTCACTGTATCACAATTCCAGTGGGTCAGAAGTTTACATACACTAAGTTGACTGTGCCTTTAAACAGCTTGGAAAATTCCAGAAAATGATGTCATGACTTTAGAAGCTTCTGATAGGCTAATTGACATCATTTGAGTCAATTGGAGGTGTACCTGTGGATGTATTTCAAGGCCTACCTTCAAACTCAGTGCCTCTATGCTTGACATCATGGGAAAATCAAAAGAAATCAGCCAAGACCTCAGAAAAACAATTGTAGACCTCCACAAGTCTGGTTCATCCTTGGGAGCAATTTCCAAACGCCTGAAGGCACCACGTTCATCTGTACAAACAATAGTACGCAAGTATAAACACCATGGGACCACGCAGCCGTCATACCGCTCAGGAAGGAGACACGTTCTGTCTCCTAGAGATGAACGTACTTTGGTGCGAAAAGTGCAAATCAATCCAAGAACAACAGCAAAGGACCTTGTGAAGATGCTGGAGGAAACGGGTACAAAAGTATCTATATCCACAGTAAAACGAGTCCTATATCGACATAACCTGAAAGGCCTCTCAGAAAGGAAGAAGCCACTGCTCCAAAACCGCCATAAAAAAGCCAGACTACGGTTTGCAACTGCACATGGGGACAAAGATTGTACTTTTTGGAGAAATGTCCTCTGGTCTGATGAAACAAAAATAGAACTGTTTGGCCATAATGACCATCATTATGTTTGGAGGAAAAAGGGTGTAGCTTGCAAGCCGAAGAACACCATCCCAACCGTGAAGCACGGGGGTGGCAGCATTATGCTGTGGGGGTGCTTTGCTGCAGGAGGGACTGGTGCACTTCACAAAATAGATGGCATCATGAGGAAGGAAAATAATGTGGATATATTGAAGCCAAATCTCAAGACATCAGTCAGGAAGTTAAAGCTTGGTTGCAAATGGGTCATCCAAATGGACAATGACCCCAAGCATACTTCCAAAGTTGTGGAAAAATGGCTTAAGGACAACAAAGTCAAGGTATTGGAGTGGCCATCACAAAGCCCTGACCTCAATCCTATCGAAAATGTGTGGGCAGAACTGAAAAAGCGTGTGCGAGCAAGGAAGGCTACCCAAAATCTTTGACCCAAGTTAAACAATTTAAAGGCAATGCTACCAAATACTAATTGAGTGTATGCAAACTTCTGACCCACTGGGAATGTGATGAAAGAAATAAAAGCTGAAATAAATCATTCTCTACTATTATTCTGACATTTCACATTCTTAAAATATAGTGGTGATCCTAACTGACCTAAAACAGGGAATTTTTACTAGGATTAAATGTCAAGAATTGTGAAAAACTGAGTTTAAATGTATTTGGCTAAGGTGTATATAAACTTCCGACTTCAACTGTAGATACCCCTCAGCAATTTCCTTTTAAGCATTGTATCATACACTTAATGACAGCTAAAATCCTACTGACTAAAACAGAAAGCCTGCACTTTACATCATCAAGCAGTTGTTGAATTCGTGTCGTTATCAAATTGTTGCATCTGCAGATAATTTAAACATTGTTATGAATAGCGCCACAGTAAGATATTGTTGTCTACGGCAATTTTATACATTCTACATTCATTCTAATAATTTAGCAGACTATCTTATCCAGAGCGAATTACAGGAACAATTAAGGTTAAGTACCTTGCTCAAGGGCATATCGACAGATTTTTATTCACCTAGTCGGCTCGGAGATTCGAACCAGCAACCTTTTGGTTACTGGCCCAACGCTGTTAACCGCTATGCTACTTGCCGCTTGGTTGTCCAGCCCAGACTAAACAAACAATTGTTTTGTCTGAGCCTAAACTAAACATATTGCTGTGTCTGTAGCTACACTAGAGGCTCATTACTGCAGACCATCCGATCCTGACCTCCTCTGTCCTCTCCCCCAGGCTTGGGGTCAATTTTAATTTCATTCAGTCAATTAAGTACATCCAGAATTGACTGAATTGGGAATGGAATTGACCCCAACCCTGCTCTCCTCTCCCCCAGGTGAAGAAGCTTCAGGCCATCCTTAAGCCCATGATGCTGCGGCGGCTGAAGGACGACGTGGAGAAGAACCTGGCGCCCAAGGAGGAAACCATCATCGAGGTGGAGCTCACCAACATGCAGAAGAAGTACTACCGGGCCATCCTGGAGAAGAACTTCACCTTCCTGGCCAAGGGGGCCAACCAACACAACATGCCCAACCTCATCAACACCATGATGGAGCTACGCAAGTGCTGCAACCACCCCTACCTGATCAAAGGTGACGTGTGGACATCACACGTACACACACACGCTCTACAAATGTTAATAGTTCATAATAAAATATTAATTGTAAAATTAGTTGACGGCTGAACGAATCTGTTAACACCTGTATTCCTTCTAGCTTCCAGAGTCTTGTGGAGTCCTTTATATAATTCCACTCTGACTTTATAAGCAGCATTATGGAAATGGCTTTATACCTATTTTCTCTGCCCTTTTTTCTCCCTTATCTTCTCTGGACACGTCCAGGTGCGGAGGAGAAGATCCTGGATAGCTTCAGGAAAACGCACAGCCCTGATGCCTGGGACTTCCAGCTCCAGGCCATGATCCAGGCGGCGGGGAAGCTGGTGCTTATCGACAAGCTGCTGCCCAAGCTGATTGCTGGCGGCCACAAGGTGCTGGTCTTCTCCCAGATGGTGCGCTGCCTGGACATCCTGGAGGACTACCTCATCCAGAGGAGGTGAGGTTGGGGCTGAGGATAGAGCGGGGCTGGGGATGGGGCTGCTGGACTGGGCTCAAGCTCTGCTATGTGTGCCCAGATCACAATCCCCCTCACCCTCTGCTCTAGTCTAAAAAGAGTCGGACCAAGACTGAAATTGTGTTCAGTTTATCAAGTAGGGAAAAATATATGATTTTGCTGGACAGTTCCAAGACCAACAGGAAAGGTGCGTGTGCGTAACATATTAATGGCTGTCACTTTATGACATAATGATGAATAGATCTGTGTTAGATACACATTTTTACAGGATATCTATGATCCATAGGGGATTTTATATTTATTAACTGAAATTTACAGTGCAAGAGGTGACCAAGCATTTTGATTGGAGATACAATATGAATATTGCAAGATGTTTTATTTTATTTTTTAAACACAGTATGAATATACAGTACCAGTCAAGAGTTTGGACACACCTACTCATTCAAGGGTTTTTCTTTATTTTTTACTATTTTCTACATTGTAGAATGATAGTGAATACATCAAAACTATGAAATAACACATATGGAATCATGTAGTAACCAAAAAAGTGTTAAACAAATCAAAATATATTTTATATGTGAGATTCTTCAAAGTAGCCACCCTTTGCCTTGATGACAGCTTTGCACACTCTTGGCATTCTCTCAACCAGCTTCATGAGGAATGCTTTTCCAACAGTCTTGAAGGAGTTCCCACATATGCTGAGCACTTGTTGGCTGCTTTTCCTTCACTCTGCTGTCCAAACCATTTCAATTGGGTCGAGGTCGGGTGATTGTGGAGGCCAGGTCATCTGATGCAGCACTCCATCACTCTCTTCCTTGGTCAAATAGCCCTTACACATCCTGGAGGTGTGTTTTGGGTCATTGTCCTGTTGAAAAACAAATTATAGTCCCACTAAGCGCAAACCACATAGGATAGCGTATCACTGCAGAATGCTGTGGTAGCCATGCTGGTTAAGTGTGCCTTGAATTCTAAATAAATCACAAACAGTGTCACCAGCAAAGCACCATCACACCTCCTCCTCCATGCTTCACGGTGGGAACCACACATGCAGAGATCATCCTTTCACCTACTCTGCAACTCACAAAGACACGGCGGTTGGAACCAGAAATCTCAAATTTGGACTCATCAGACCAAAGGACAGATTTCCACCGGTCTAATGTCCATTGCTCGTGTTTCTTGGCCCAAGCAAGTCTCTTCTTATTGGTGTCCTTTAGTAGTGGTTTCTTTGCAGCAATTCCACCATGAAGGCCTGATTCACGCAGTCTCCTCTGAACAGTTGATTTTGAGATGAGTCTGTTACTTGAACTCTGTGAAGCATTTATTTGGGCTGCAATCTGAGGTGCCGTTAACTCTAATGAACTTATCCTCTGCAGCAGAGGTAACTCTGGGTCTTCCTTTCCTGTGGCGGTCCTCATGAGAGCCAGTTTCATCATGGTGCCGTATGGTTTTTGCGACTGCACTTGAAGAAAGTTCTTGAAATGTTCCGTATTGACTGAACTTCATGTCTTAAAGTAATGATGGACTGTCGTTTGTCTTTGCTCATTTGAGCTGTTCTTGCCATAATATGGACTTGATCTTTTACCAAATAGGGCTATCTTCTGTATATCAACCCTACCTTGTCACAACACAACTGATTGTCACAAATGCATTAAGAAGGAAAGAAGTTCCACAAATTAACTTCTAACAAAGCACAACTGTTAATTGAAATACATTCCAGGTGACTATTTCATGAAGCTGGTTGAGAGAATGCAAAGCTGTCATCAATGCATGATGTTGGAGGGGCTCCAGAAAAAGCCGGTCCCACATGTCCCCGCAGATAAAAAGAGATACTCAGAATGCGGGCTAGAAAATAAGGGGGAAGAGGCCTCGCGAAACGGTTTAAATATCTGTCACTCGTCACTCTGCCGAACAGATGTGTTGCATTAATGAGAGAGATTTTTTTTTAAACACATTTATGGTTACTACATGATTCCATATGTGTTATTTCATAGTTTTGATGTCAATGTAGAAAATAGTAAAAATAAAGAAAACCCTTGAATTAGTAGGTGTCCAAACTTTTGTCTGGTACTGTATGTTTAAATACATAGAGAATTCGGGGGTTCCCCGACCAGTACTCAAACCTGGGGCCAGCGACTGTCAGCCCAACACCTTCACCGTTACGCCAAGAGATCCGAAGCTCTTGATGAGGTCGCTAGGTGTTCGGTTGAGGTTGCTACAGTATGTTCATAAGTTGTATGTGTGGTTCTAGGTACACCTATGAGCGCATTGACGGCAGAGTACGGGGTAACCTGCGCCAGGCAGCGATCGACAGATTCTGTAAGGTGGACTCTGACCGCTTTGTGTTCCTGCTGTGTACCCGTGCTGGGGGCCTGGGCATCAACCTGACCGCTGCAGACACCTGCATCATCTTCGACTCGGACTGGAACCCCCAGAACGACCTACAGGTTAGTCAACACAAAGTTCAGTACCACTTAGGTCCCGTTTTCCGGACCCTGATTAAACCTAGTCCTGGACTAAGAAGTGTTATACTCATTTCCTGATGTGGTTTCATGTTGTCCTGTGTGGCTCAGTTGATAGAGCATGGCTCTTGCAATGTCAGGATTTTTGGTTCGATTCCGGCTGGGGCCTCCACTGTATGTGTATGCACTCACTACTGTAAATCGCTTTGGATAAAAGCGTTGGCTATTTCATGTGGGCATGCAGTATGAAATGGTATAAAGAAAAAGATTACTCACACAATGTTCTTATTATTTTGTATTTTTATTCTGTTATTTTTAGGACTACATTGATATTGATTACTGCGTTGTTGGATTTAGAGCTTGCAAGACAGGCATTTCACTGTACTTGTGCACGTGACATTAAAACTTGAAACTTTGAATGCCAGTGAAAAATAACTGTTTCAAGCCCTGTGTGTGAAAATGCTCTGTGTTTGTCCCTGCCAGGCCCAAGCTCGCTGCCACCGCATCGGCCAGAGTAAAGCAGTGAAGGTGTACAGGCTAATCACTAGGAACTCCTATGAGAGGGAGATGTTTGACAAAGCCAGTCTGAAGCTGGGTCTAGACAAGGCTGTGCTGCAGGACATCAATCGAAAGGGCAGCCTCAATGGGGTGAGTGACTGTGCTATGATCGCCTGGTCCCAGATCTGTTTGTGCTGTCTTGCCAACTCCTATTGTCATCGTTCCATCGTCATGCCAGCACAAACAGATCTAGGACTAGGTTATACTATGAAGGATGAATGTGTGATGATGTCTGGATTTTCTTTGTATACAGTGAGCTCCAAAAGTATTGGGACAGTGACACCATTTTTCTTGTCCAGCACTTTGGATTTGAAATTATATATTTGTTTATTTGAGGGTGAACCATTTAGATATTACAGAACTTTTTGTACATAGTCCCCCCAAATTAGGAGACCAAAAGTATTGGGACAAATTCACGTATGTGTATTAAAGTAGAAGATTATTTTGTGCACAATAGAAATGAATGTGTCATTTTGGAGTCACTTTTATTGTAAATAAAATTAGAATATGTTTCTAAACACTTCTACATTTAATGTGGATGCTACCATGATTCCGGATAATCCTGAATGAATCATGAATAATAATGAGTGAGAAAGTTAGATGCACAAATATCATACCCCCAAGACAAGCATTTTTTTGTGGGGGGAGGTGATATTTGTGCGTCGAACTTTCTCACTCATCCTTATTCACACTTCATTCAAGATTATCTGTAATCATGGTAGCATCCACATTCATGTAGAAGTGTTTAGAAATATATTATATTCTAATATACAAATAAAAGGTTGGAGCTCACTTTCATATAGTAGTCATCTTTGAGATTTCTATGTCCGTCCACACTCAGCACTGCAGTCCCTCTCAATGCTTTTGTTGCCGGTTTTGCAGTACAACACAAACAGTTGTCAGTGGTCATGCTAAACATGTCCCTTTGGACTATCCTGTTTTTTTACACCTACACCCTTTTATCAAACTTTAACTATCTAATTCAGGAAATAAATAAAGTATTCTATTCAGGGACTAAACTGAAAATACCAGTTCCTATTCCAATTTTCGTCATAGAAAAGCATTAAAGAGAATTTGAGTTTAGTTCAGTTTAAATGACTGAATTGAAATGGAATTGACCCCAACCCTGATCTATAATTGGGTCCAGCTGATCTGAGCGCTGTTGGTATGGCTGCCTAACTAACGGGGGGCATGGTGTCCTAAAGGCGCAGCAGATGACCAAGATTGAGGTGGAGGACCTGCTGAGGAAGGGGGCTTATGGAGCGTTGATGGATGAAGAGGACGAGGGCTCCAAGTTTTGTGAGGAGGACATCGACCAGATCTTGCAGCGCCGCACCCAAACCATCACCATCGAGACAGAGGGCAAGGGCTCCACCTTCGCCAAGGTTAACACTGATCCTTATACACCTGACCTCTAACTCCTGACCCTAATATCCAGACTGTCAACATCAAGACGGTAGGCAAGGGCTCCACCTTCGCCAAGTTAAACCCCAACCTTTTATACATCTGACCATTAACCCCTGACCCATATCTTGACCATCACCATCCAGACAGAGCGCTCCACACTTGCCAAAGTAAACTCAATTGTAAACCTAACCCTTACCTGTTGAATGGTAAGGGTTAGGTTTACAATTGAGGGTTTACCTTGGCGAAGGTGGAGCTCTCTGTTTGGATAGTGAGGCTCATTGTATAAAAACGTTTTTTTGATGTTAGTGGTTGTATTAATTTGGGAACTATCGCATCCCACAACTGTCCCAGACTATGTTTGGAATATTTATTTCTCGCACAGAATAGAATAGGTCAACTTTTGTACTATGTGGGATGGTAAATTGACATAGGCTAGTGCTTTTGCTGTTCGTTAGGCTTACTCATCTTGTTGGCTGACGAAAAGTAAATGTGGACAGTTCTTCCAATATCTTCAATATGCACCTCGGAATTGGATAAGGATGCGCGCCGTTGCATCCCCGATGTGTCTGTCTTCACTTGTAGCCTGTGAGAAAGACCCGATCACGTGACAGAGCCATGTGAGTGAGAGACACTTTGGATCACCGGCTGACTGACAAAATGTCGTGACCGCCACAGCCCTACCCCTACCTTATAGATTAAACCCTAATCCTAAAACTGTCACCGTCCAGGTACTCTATAACTATCAGAAGAATGACATGTTAGCCAGTCACCACAAGTTTCAGTTTCCCCTGCTTTACACTCTGAGTGGGAAAAGGGAGATGCAACTCTTTCACCAATGTCTGATTTCACGCCTTATCAGCTTTCTCAGCACATCTAAGTGTATGTTACACACACAGATCCAGTCAGGTTGATGTGTTTGTGTGCGCGTGCATGTGTGCACGCTTTTGTTTTCCTTGTCATTTCCAGGCCAGCTTTGTGTCTTCTGGAAACAGAACTGACATTTCCCTGGACGATCCCAACTTCTGGCAGAAATGGGCCAAAATAGCAGAGCTGGAGATTGACTCCAAAGCAGAGAAGGTGAGAGGAACTAGGGAAGGGCACTATGGGGCTACCGGTTATCCCTCACCAGGGTGAAGCCGCTACATGATGTTGGAGGGGCTCCAGAAAAAGACGGTCCCGCATGTCCCCGCAGATCAAAAGAGCTACTCAGAATGCGGGCTAGAAAATAAGGGGGAAGAGGCCTCACGAAACGGTTTAAATATCTGTCACTCGTCACTCTGCCGAACAGATGTGTTGCATTAAAGAGAGAGGGGAAAAAACAGCATGCGAAGCAGAGGGAGGAGGAGAGACTGCAGTTGAATTAATTCTGTTTAGTGTGTATTAGTGTGCTGCGTATGCATTTTGTGCTCCAGAGTTGTGTGTGTGTATATGGGGTACACTGTATGTTAGTAATGTGCGTTTTTTGGGCCTGAGTATGTGGTGTGTTAGCAGTGTGTGTACACTTATATTTATTTATATACACTGCTCATAAAATAAAGAGAACACTTAAACAACACATCCTAGATCTGAATGAATGAAATAATCTTATTAAATACTTTTTTCTTTACATAGTTGAATGTGCTGACAACAAAATCACGCAAAAATTATCAATGGAAATCCAATTTATCAACCCATGGAGGTCTGGATTTGGAGTCACCCTCAAAATTAAAGTGGAAAACCACACTACAGGCTGATCCAACTTTGATGTAATGTCCTTAAAACAAGTCAAAATGAGGCTCATTAGTGTGTGTGGCCTCCACGTGCCTGTATGACCTCCCTACAACGCCTGGGCATGCTCCTGATGAGGTGGCGGATGATCTCCTGAGGGATCTCCTCCCAGACCTGGACTAAAGCATCCGCCAACTCCTGGACAGTCTGTGGTGCAACGTGGCGTTGGTGGATGGAGCGAGACATGATGTCCCAGATGTGCTCAATTGGATTCAGGTCTGGGGAACGGGCGGGCCAGTCCATAGCATCAATGCCTTCCTCTTGCAGGAACTGCTGACACACTCCAGCCACATGAGGTCTAGCATTGTCTTGCATTAGGAGGAACTCAGGGCCAACCGCACCAGCATGTGGTCTCACAAGGGGTCTGAGGATCTCATCTCGGTACCTAATGGCAGTCAGGCTACCTCTGGCGAGCACATGGAGGGCTGTGCGGCCCCCCAAAGAAATGCCACCCCACACCATGACTGACCCACCGCCAAACCGGTCGTGCTGGAGGATGTTGCAGGCAGCAGAACGTTCTCCACGGCGTCTCCAGACTCTGTCACGTCTGTCACATGTGCTCAGTGTGAACCTGCTTTCATCTGTGAAGAGCACAGGGCGCCAGTGACGAATTTGCCAATCTTGGTGTTCTCTGGCAAATGCCAAACGTCCTGCACGGTGTTGGGCTGTAAGCACAACCCCCACCTGTGGATGTCGGTCCCTCATACCACCCTCATGGAGTCTGTTTCTGACCTTTTGAGCAGACACATGCACATTTGTGGCCTGCTGGAGGTCATTTAGCAGGGCTCTGGCAGTGCTCCTCCTGCTCCTCCTTGCACAAAGGCGGAGGTTGCGGTCCTGCTGCTGGGTTGTTGCCCTCCTACGGCCTCCTCCACGTCTCCTGATGTACTGGCCTGTCTCCTGGTAGCGCCTCCATGCTCTGGACACTACGCTGACAGACACAGCAAACCTTGATGTGCCATCCTGGATGAGCTGCACTACCTGAGCCACTTGTGTGGGTTGTAGACTCCGTCTCATGCTACCACTAGAGTGAAAGCACCGCCAGCATTTAAATGTGACCAAAACATCAGCCAGGAAGCATAGGAACTGAGAAGTGGTCTGTGGTCACCACCTGCAGAACTACTTCTTTATTGAGGGTGTCTTGCTAATTGCCTATAATTTCCACCTGTTGTCTATTCCATTTGCACAACAGCATGTGAAATGTATTGTCAATCAGTGTTGCTTCCTAAGTGGACAGTTTGATTTCACAGAAGTGTGGTTGACTTGGAGTTACATTGTGTTGTTTAAGTGTTCCCTTTATTTTTTTGGAGCAGTGTATATGCCTACATCTTATGTATTTTCTGCGCATGGATTTGTTTGGCATCCGTACACAGTATGGAATGTGTTTGGGGTGTGTGTATTGTGCTGTGGATGGGTTCCTATAATGTCTGTAAAGCTTGAATATGAACTACCGTCCCCTGGCTGTGACAGGAGAGCCTGGTGATTGATACGCCTCGTGTGAGGAAGCAGACGCGCCACTACAACTCGTTCGAAGACGACGAGCTGATGGAGTTCTCTGAGCTGGACAGCGACTCAGAAGAGAGGCCCTGTCGCACCCGCCGCTTCAGCGAGAGGAACAGACGCTACCTCCGCGCCGAATGCTTCCGCGTCGAGAAGAACCTGCTCATATTTGGGTTATTTTCTCGCCTCTAACATTCCTCAGTCACACTTTCATTGTGCCATACTGTAATAATTATTGTGAAGTGCCCTATGTAAGTGCTCTCTCACTGGCTTAAGTAACCTCAAACTGTACCTTAGTAAGCACTCTAACTGGCTACTGCAGGGTTAGTGGGACAGTGTTTTCCAAACATCTCCTTGAGTAATTCCCAGTCAGTACCATTTATATGACTTATTCCGGTACTAGCACACCTGATTCAATTGGTCAACTAATCACCAAGCCCCTCATTAGTTGAATCAGGTGTGCTAGTTGTGGAATATATCAAATATAGTCCCTGCCAAATATATTGGCACATTTGCACTTTTTTTTAAAGGCCCAGTGCAGTCAGAAACGTGATTTTCCTGTGTTTTATCTATATTTCAAGATTTCCAGCTCTTTTAGTGTAAGAGCTGTTTGAAAGGTCCGCCTGAAATGTCAGCCTGTTTTGGTGGGATGGCGTTTTGACCAATAGGAAAGAGGGTTCCAAACCACTCTGCCATTAACAGGTAGTTTTCATTTTTCCACTCCCGACTCAGACCACGCCCAGACAGTCTTAGCAAAGTTCTTGCTTGAGAATTGTTTTTGTTTCTTTTTGACTATTTTAATTGAAAACAATCACAGTAAGGTACTTAATTGTTACCCAGAAATTATTTGATATGGAGATCAAAACGGCTGCATTGGACCTTTTATCCCCTATTTCTTCTAAAATAAGTGGAAGTTGAAAAAGCTTTGGTCTCCACACTTTGTTAGTGGATTTTCAACATTGCAGAAACAATTGTATTTTAACTTAAGTTCAAAAAATTTACTTAGAAAATATAGACATGGGAAAAAATAAATTGGCACCCCAGAGCTAGTACACAGCCTTTGGCCAAGATAACTGCAGACAAACACTTATTGTAGCCATTAATGAGTGTGCTGCAATTTGGCCCACTCTTCAGCAGCAAACTGCTGTAATTCTTCAATGTTTGAGGGGTGCCCTCCACCAACTGCTGTTTTCAGATCTGTCCATAGCAGTGGCGGTCGGTGCCGTTTTAAGATGAGGGACGACAAGTATTTTTTTAATGAGCGTGGCCTTATTTATTTTACAGCATATTGGATGACTGTCATTCATATTCCATTCACCCAGCTCAATGTAACATTGACAGGTTTAGGCTACTACATGATACTCTAATTTTCCCAATACCCATCATGAGGTTGCTACAACCTAGCCTATGAATTAAAGTTTACAACGTAGGTGCACAGGTCGAGAGGAATTTGAGTAATTTAAGGTGACAGTGACACATTCAATACCGTCTTGCACACTCTTGCCTGCATCTAGCTGATCTAGGGTGTAATCATTAGTCCAACAGTTGCATACAGTGGGGAGAACAAGTATTTGATACACTGCCGATTTTGCAGGTTTTCCTACTTACAAAGCATGTAGAGGTCTGTAATTTTTATCATAGGTACACTTCAACTGTGAGAGACTGAATCTAAAAAGTATTTGATACATCAGAAAAGCAGAACTTAATATTTGGTACAGAAGCCTTTGTTTGCAATTACATAGATCATACGTTTCCTGTAGGTCTTGACCAGGTTTGCACACACTGCAGCAGGGATTTTGGCCCACTCCTCCATACAGACCTTCTCCAGATCCTTCAGGTTTCGGGGCTGTCGCTGGGCAATACAGACTTTCAGGTCCCTCCAAAGATTTTCTATTGGGTTCAGGTCTGGAGACTGGCTAGGCCACTCCAGGACCTTGAGATGCTTCTTACGGAGCCACTCCTTAGTTGCCCTGGCTGTGTGTTTCGGGTTGTTGTCATGCTGGAAGACCCAGCCACGACCCATCTTCAATGCTCTTACTGAGGGAAGGCGGTTGTTGGCCAAGATCTCGCGATACATGGCCCCATCCATCCTCCCCTCAATATGGTGCAGTTGTCCTGTCCCCTTTGCAGAAAAGCATCCCCAAAGAATGATGTTTCCACCTCCATGCTTCACGTTTGGGATGGTGTTCTTGGGGTTGTACTCATCCTTCTTCTTCCTCCAAACACGGCGAGTGGAGTTTAGACCAAAGAGCTCTATTTTTGTCTCATGAGAGCACATGACCTTCTCCCATTCCTCATCTGGATCATCCAGATGGTCATTGGCAAACTTCAGACGGGCCTGGGCATGTGCTGGCTTGAGCAGGGGGACCTTGCGTGCGCTGCAGGATTTTAATCCATGACGGCGTAGTGTGTTACTAGTGGTTTTCTTTGAGACTGTGGTCCCAGCTCTCTTCAGGTCATTGACCAGGTCCTGCCATGTAGTCCCTCACCTTCCTCATGATCATTGATGCCCCACGAGGTGAGATCTTGCATGGAGCCCCAGACCGAGGATGATTGACCGTCATCTTGAACTTCTTCCATTTTCTAATAATTGACCCAAAAGTTGTTGCCTTCTCACCAAGCTGCTTGCCTATTGTCCTGTAGGCCATCCCAGCCTTGTGCAGGTCTACAATTTTATCCCTGATGTCCTTACACAGCTCTCTGGTCTTGGCCATTGTGGAGAGGTTGGAGTCTGTTTGATTGAGTGTGTGGACAGGTGTCTTTTATACAGGTAAAGAGTTCTAACAGGTGCAGTTAATACAGGTAATGAGTGGAGAACAGGAGGGCTTCTTAAAGAAAAACTAACAGGTCTGTGAGAGACGGAATTCTTACTGGTTGGTAGGTGATCAAATACTTATGTCATGCAATAAAATGCAAATTAATTACTTAAAAATCATACAATGTGATTTTCTGGATTTTTGTTTTAGATTCCGTCTCTCACAGTTGAAGTATACCTATGATAAAACTTACAGACCTCTACATGCTTTGTAAGTAGGAAAACCTGCAAAATCGGCAGTGTATCAAATACTTGTTCTCCCCACTGTACATTAATTTCTATTGGACAAATTCAGGTATGTTTATCACCGCTTCGTTCCGTTTAAGAAACGTTTTTCAACAGAATCGGCGGAATGAATACACCTCTGATCACACGCAAACACAGTTCACTTTCATAGCAGTCACATACAAACAGCATGATCACTTTGATCGTTGTAGCTATAATTTCTTCACGCGTCTACGCACTCTCCTCCTCTCACCTTTTCCCTTCGCTTGTGGACTTCAGTACACAACACATTAACTGTCTGTGACCAGGCGAAAAAAATAATAAAAAAAACTTTACAAGCCAAACTTTCATATCATAACCACTACCCACTGCCTACATTGTTGTCACCATTATTAGCTAACGTCATAGTCAACATAGCTACTGGACCTAACGCGTTAGTAAACCCGCTACAATCATGCAGTACAGTGTATAGTCAGCAAGCAGTTTAGCAGTTACACCGGCAGGCCCCGGTGGTAATACATTTATAAAACCAAAAGCTTACCTTGGAAGAGATCCAGTGTTGGATTGCCATAGCCAGCTAGCTAACATAGCATCCCTCTCTGTTTGAGCTGGGTGCTTGAGTAGGCTACACTAGCTACATTCACCACATTTTCTGCACTGCGGTGCTATCTAGCTGTAGCTTATGCATTCCGTTCTAGATTCATTCTCTGATCCTTTGATTAGGTGGACAACATGTCCGTTCATGCTACAAGAGCTCTGATAGGTTGGAGGAGGACGTCGTCTGGAAGTTGTCAGAATTACTGTGTACGTTTATGGAAGGGGGTGAGAACCATGAGACTCCTAGGTTTTGTATTGAAGTCAATGTACCTAGAGGAGGACGGAAACGAGCTGTCCTCCGGCTACACCATGGTGCTCCCCTACAGAGTGCTGTTGAGGCTACTGTAGACCTTAATTGCAAAACAGTGTGTTTAAATAAATTATTTGGTGATATGTGAATAAATTTAATATAGTTTTATATTGAAAGGATCTATTTTATTTTTATTTATTTTTAAACATTTTTATGAAATTCACTGAGGAGGATGGTCCCCCCCTTCCTCCTCTGAAGAGCCTCCACTGGTCCATAGGTTTTGGATGAGATTCAGATCTGGACTCTTTGCTGGCTACTCCAGAACAGTCAAGTATTTCTTATTGAACCATTCCTGGGTGCTTTTTGTTGTGTGTTTGGGGTCGTTGTCCTGCTGGAAGACCTAAAACGTTCAATGGAGACCCAGTTTTTGGACACTGGGTTGAACATTGGACTACAAAACACCTTAATAATCTGCTGATTTCATGATGCCTTGCGCACGTTCAAGGCCCACAGTACCAGGGGCAGCCAAGCAACCCCACAGCATTATCAAACCTCCCCCATGTTTGATTGTAGGGAGGGTGTTATTTTAATTGAATGCCTAATTTGATCATTGATAAACACAGAGCTAATCTGTATTGCCAAAGAGCTCTAATTATGTTTCATTGGTCCACAGAACATTTTCCCCCAGGATTTAGGCTTGTTTTAGGTGGGATTTGAGAAGTTCAATCAGGATTTCTTGTCTCCTTCAGTTGTGGGGTCTTCCTATGACCAACGACCACATTAAGCATTCAAAGAAAATAACACCCTCCCTACAATCAAACGTGGGGAGGTTTGATAATGCTGTGGGTTTGCTTTGCTGCCTCTAAACGTGTGCAAACCTCATGATATCTGCAGATTTATCAAGGTTTTGTGGAGTGCAATGTTCAACCCAGTGTTCAAAAACTGGGTCTCTGTTGAAGGTTGGTCTTCCAGCAGGACAAAAAACCTAAACACACATCAGAAGCACCCTTGAATGGTTCAAGAGGAAGCGCTGGACTGTTCTTGAGTGAAAAGCGAAGAGTCCAGATCTGAATTGCATCCATAACCTATGGTGAGAGCTGAAAACAGCAGTTGATGGAGGGCACCCCTCAAACATTGAAGAATTAACCTCTTAAGGATCGGACACTTTTTTTTCAATTTTTGCATAAAATCTAACTGCCTGTAGCTCAGGACCCGCAAGGATATGCATGTTCTTGATACCATTTGAAAGGAAACACTTTGAAGTTTGTGGAAATGTGAAATTAATGTAGGAGAATAACGCATTAGATCTGGTAAACGATAATAGAAACAAAAAAACATGTGTTTTCTGTTAATTTTTTTGTTCCATCATCTTTGAAATGCAAGAGAAAGGCCATGATGTAATATTGTATTTTGCCACTAGATGGCAGCAGTGTGCGTGCAAAGTTTCAGATTGATCCAGTGAAGCATTGCAATACTGGACTGTTTTGTATCAAGTCTGCCCAAATGTGCCGAATTGGTCAATTGATACATTTTCAAGTACATAACTATAGAGAACATACATTTTGTATTATCATATCATTTTTGTAAGTTTACACACTCCCAGGAATGTCGTAGATGATGGATCATTAGTTTATAAACAATGGTGCCAGAGACAGTAGGGGTTCAAACTGTAGAACCCAGTTCCTACATTTGAATATAAAAATAGATTTTATCATACAAAACTATGCTACATTTGATCTCTGGGACCCTTAGCATGACAAATCAGAGCAAGATTACTGAATGTAAGTACATTATTTACCTTCAGAGGTGAATGTATCAAACCAGTTGCCTTGATAAGTGTTTTGTTGTTGTGCACTCTCCTCAAACAATAGCATGGTGATTTTTCACTATAATAGCTACTGTAAATTGGACAGTGCAGTTAGATTAACACGAATCTAAGCTTTCTGCCCATATAAGACATGTCTATGTCCTGGAATGTCTGCTGTTACTTACAACAGTCATGCTAATCACATTAGCGCACATTAGCTCAACCATCCCTTTTACGGGACACCGATCCTGTAGAGGTTAAAGCAGTTTGCTGCTGAAAAGTGGGCCAAATTACCAGGCTGTGCAGCCAAGTACTAGCTCCGGGGTGCTAATATTTTTGTCCATGCGATTTGTCTTTATTTTCTAAAGTAAAATTGTAAACTCAAGTTTACAAAATTAAATTGGTTCTGCAATGTTGAAAATCCGACAAGGTGTGGAGATAAAATAGGGAATTATTTAAGAAAAGTGCAAGGGTGCCAATGTATTTGGCTGCAACTGTATGTGACACTGGCTGGGGGTATTCGTGGAGAGGTGGGGACTCGATGAGAGCCTACTGCAGTAGGCTACATTAGAGTACAGTTGTATTTATTGTATCCCACCGACTCTGACACTAGTGTGGTGTATCTGTGCTCATGCCACCTGCTACATCTGTTTGTGCCCACACAGCTGGGGTCGCTGGAAGGACATCCTGACCCACGGGCGCTTCAAGTGGCAACTGTCTGAACGTGACATGGAGGTGCTGTGCCGGGCGCTGCTGGTCTACTGCTTGCGCCACTACAAGGGCGATGACAAGATCAAGAGCTTTATCTGGGACCTCATCACACCCGCCAAGGATGGCCATAAACAAGACCTGCAGAACCATTCTGGTGAGAGATTCGCTTACATCCCCTGAAACAAGCTGCCATTCAGGAAAGAGGACTGACAAAATGGCTAGTTATGTTGACAACACTCAAATGTATAATTAAGCTCTGAAAAGCAATTCATAGTGCCAGAGTTTGTCATAGTGGTCTATAAAGCAGATTCCAGACTGTGAATGGCCCCTGGGGGCTCGAATCCTTGCTCAGCATCTTGTACTACTCGTACTACATCTTGTATCTACTCTGTTTATCCCTTAGCAATAAAGTTTTAAAAAAAGCAATCCTCACCTTTGTCTGATGGTTTGCTTTGATTACTCCAAATAACTGTAGCTCCAACTCTGATTCCAAAATATGTGCTTTAATGTGGACTGGTGTGCTACTGATGATTGCTTGGTATCGCCCAAACCCAACCTTTCCACAAGCAGGCCTGTCGGCCCCAGTGCCCAGGGGACGCAAGGGTAAGAAGCTAAAGAACCAGCTGAGTGTGCCCGAGATGAAGCATGCAGACTGGCTTGTCAACTGCAACCCAGAGGTGGTGCTACAGGACGACAGCTACAAGAAACACCTCAAGCAGCACTGCAACAAGTGAGTCCCCCATTCCTCACAATTCACCTTCAGCTGTTGGTGAACATTGTCATGTTCTCTTCTGACTAATAGGATTCCTAAAGTTGCTAAATCTACAGTCTAGATTGAAAATAAATAATGATTTGAAGTGCTGAAGCCAAGGGAGTTTTACGCTAGATTTACTTAGCGTTTGCACCTTTTTTAATAAATGAAGACCGTTAGCTTTGTTTGTTTTATCTCTTCCTGAAAAAACAGGTGCAAACTTTGCATCTGGTAAAACAGTTGCTGTATCTAATAACAGACCGACGAGTGGTCAATGTGTTGTGTTATGTGTCGTGTTGTGCCAAGGGTACTTCTGAGGGTGAGGATGCTGTACTACCTCAAGGCGGAGGTACTGGGAGAGACTGCTGCTCAGTCCCTGGAGGGCATCCCTGCCAGGTACAGAGTGGGCACCACGAGGGCACCCATTAATCATGCCACTTACTGTATACACTGATTAACTTGTCGATACATGAAGGGGTAGTTCCTCAAACCCAGATGATGCCTATTGCTGTACTCAAAAGCACTTTCAATGCAGTTTCTCCATTGAGCATGAGTTTTAACCCAGAAGTAGGATAATCTTGTCCGGGAAACCAGCCCAAAGTAAATGACTGTGTGTGTGTGATCTGTTTAGTAAACTGGAGGTGGCGCTGCCTGATATTGACTACATCGAGATCCCAGCAGGCTGGTGGGATGCAGAGGCGGATAAGTCTCTCCTCATAGGAGTGCACAAACACGGTAATCCTCTAGTCTAGGGTCTCCTGCTTGTCAAGGCCCTCATGTCTCTCGCCTATAAAATCCTCATTTTATGTACAGTACAGTCGTGGTCAAATGTTTTGAGAATGACACAAGTCTTCACAAAGTTTGCTGCTTCAGTTTTTTTAGATATTTTTGTCAGATGTTACTATGGTATACTGAAGTATAATTGCAAGCATTCCATAAGTGTGAAAGGCTTTTATTGACAATTACATTAAGTTTATACAAAGAGTCAATATTTGCAGTGTTGACCCTTCTTTTTCAAGACCTCTGCAATCCGCCCTGGCATGCTGTCAATTAACTTCTGGGCCGCAGCCCATTCTTGCATAATCAATGCTTGTAGTTTGTCAGAATTTGTGGGTTTTTTGTTTGTCCACCCGCCTCTTGAGGATTGACCACAAGTTCTCAATGGGAATAAGGTCTGGGGAGTTTCCTGGCCATGGACCCAAAATGTTGATATTTTGTTCGCCGAGCCACTTAGTTATCACTTTTGCCTTATGGCAAGGTGCTCCATCATGCTGGAAAAGGCATTGTTCGTCACCAAACTGTTCTTGGATGGTTGGGAGAAGTTGCTCTCGGAGGATGTGTTGGTACCATTCTTTATTCATGGCTGTGTTCTTAGGCAAAATTGTGAGTGAGCCTACTCCCTTGGCTGAGAAGCAACCCCACACATGAATGGTCTCAGGATGCTTTACTGTTGGCATGACACAGGACTGATGGTAGCGCTCACCTTGTCTTCTCCGGACAAGCTTTTTCCCAGATGCCCCAAACAATCAGAAAGGGATTCATCAGAGAAAATGACTTTACCCCAGTCCTCAGCAGTCCAATCCCTGTACCTTTTGCAGAATATCAGTCTGTCCCTGATGTTTTTCCTGGAGAGAAGTGGCTTCCTCGCTGCCCTTTTTGACACCAGGCCATCCTCCAAAAGTTTTCGCCTCACTGTGCGTGCAGATGCACTCACACCTGCCTGCTGCCATTCCTGAGCAAGCTCTGCGCTGGTGGTGCCCCGATCCCGCAGCAGAATCAACTTTAGGAGACGGTCCTGGTGCTTGCTGGACTTTCTTGGGCGCCCTGAAGCCTTCTTCATAACAATTGAACCTCTCTCCTTGAAGTTCTTGATGATCCGATAAATGGTTGATTTAGGTGAAATCTTACTAGAAGCAATATCCTTGCCTGTGAAGCCCTTTTTGTGCAAAGCAATGATGACTGCACGCGTTTCCTTGCAGGTAACCATGGTTAACATAGGAAGAACAATGATTTCAAGCACCACCCTCCTTTTTAAAGCTTAGAGTCTGTTATTCTAACTCAATCAGCATGACAGTCATCTCCAGCCTTGTCCTCGTCAACACTCTCACCTGTGTTAACGAGATAATTACTGACATGATGTCTGCTGGTCCTTTTGTGGAGTATATGCAAATTGCCATCATTAAAACTGATGCAGCAGACTTTTTGAAAATTAAAATGTGTGTCATTCTCAAAACTTTTGACCACGACTGTAGTTTATATTCAAGTTATTAAGTCATGGTTTGTCCATTTCAAAGGATCATACATCAACCTTGGTCCTAGAGAATTTCAAGGTGTGCATGCTTTGGTTCCATCACTAAAACACCTGAATCAACTAATCAAAGTCCTGATGATCAGTCGATTTAGCTGAGTCATGTTTTAAGTCTGTAGCTCGCTCTGTATATTTTGGATCAGGATTGGTCATTACTGGCCTACCACATATCACAGTTATTGGTCATTGATTAATTGGTCATACATTTTAAATTGATAGTAAATTTAAGTCTGAAGCCACTTCCATCGGCGCTCAGTAACCGTGTGTCCTCAGGGTACGAGCGGTACAACGCCATGCGGGCCGACCCAGAGCTGTGCTTCTTGGAGCGGGTGGGCATGCCTGACGTCACGGCGCTCTCAGCCGAGCAGAGTGGAGGAGAGGTGGTGGCTGACCTCACTGACAGGCAAGAAACCACCCACGCCTTAGCGTAGGGCACAAGTCTCATTTGAAGGATGGACCCCAAAAAAAACAGCATACATTAATATGAACATCCGCAGTACCAAATCTCAGGTGCTGTGTACGAATGTGAATGTCAACCAATGCCTTTATGCCCCAAAATGTAATATGTCAGTAATACCTCGATCTAGTTCCCCTAAATACATTAATTAATCCTGGATGGTCAAGTTGACTCTGGTGATGGAGCAAGTAATACAACTTTGTGGTCTTTATCATGATTGTTGTTCTTTTTAGTGCTTGCAAAAGTGATGACATGAAAGACAATCCTGAATGCAATCCAGAGGAGGGAGGAGTGGAAAAGGTTGATAATAAGGTATGGACTCTCGAGTGACTCGGCTAAATGGAAATGAAGGATTAAATTATTGAATATCTAAAAAGGTTGAGTTGTGATGTTCTATCGTCTATTTTTGCTCCATAAGGATGAAACCAGCTCCAGCAATGATGCAATGGACAAGCATGACAGTGTAGTTCAAGGTGAGTGTTCAGCTACCTTTCAACTTGCCTTTTTGCATAAAACACATTACAACAGGAGAATCTGTGAGTGCATATAGATTATATTGGTTTTACCATTTTCTGCAAGTGTTCATGTGTGTTATTCTACGAATAGAATGCCGTTTTATGTAATGTAATTTTGTCAAAAATAAGTTTATTTCACCTAATTTTAAGAATTTGTCATAAAAAGCACATGCTTAACTTCATAATAAACATGTTTTCCCATCTCAAGAGGTTAAATCCAGAAAAATGACTATAAAATGCATGTAAACAAAGCATTGATCTGATGCTGTTACTTTCCAGACACACTTTCAGTGGAGATGGTCAAGGAGGGCTTTGGCCAGGAAGGGTTTGGCCAGGAGGGCATGGAGCTACAGGGTCGCCCTCTGTGGCCGGCCGGCCCTGCCCTTACTGCCAGGCTACGTCGCCTCATCACGGCCTACCAGCGCTTCATGCGGCGCGAGCCCCTGCGCCACGACTTCCTGCTGCCTGAAGGGCTGGGGTCAGGCCTGGGGCCGATGTCCTGGCAGCTGGGGGAGGAGATTAGGCGGTGCACGGTGGCTGCCACTGAACCTGACCCTCTCTTCCTGGAGTGGCAGAGAAGGTGGGTGATGTCAGAGCAAAGGTGGGTGATGTTATTGATCCCCTACATTATGTGCTGCCTCGGTCCCGTTCCCTTTCGGTTACTAGCCCCTTACCCCCCTCTATGTTCACCGATCTGTAAGGCATGGTTATATCAATACGAGGATGTCTCCAGCTAGCTCTCCAATAAACTAGGTGGAACTATCACTATTTACCTTTCACAAACATATCCTTCAAGGTCTGTGAACAACTGCTAGGCTAGGGGATTAAATGGACGGGTTCATTGTCTATGCCCCTAAAAGATGGTGCGTGTCAAATACTTAATATAAAAATGTCTTACTGGAACCAGACTTTTTGCTTTTGTGTGCGATACCCACAGCTGCCTTGTGGCTTCCGTGTACTGCAGTCACATGGTCAGTGCATGCCCCCCTGATCAAAGGCTAATGGTAGGCCTGTGTTTTTGTGAGCAGGTGGACACGGCGTGAGCAAGCAGATTTCTACCGCACCGTGTCGTCGTTCGGCGTGGTGCACGACCTGGAGAAGAAAACCTTCGACTGGAGTCTGTTCCGCTCCTTCGCCCGGCTGGAGAGGAAGACGGATGAGAGCCTGGAGAGATACTTCAGCAGCTTTGTGTCCATGTGCCGCACCGCCTGCAGATTGCCCCCCAGGAAGGACGAAGGTAACTACTCACCAGGAGGCAAAGCAAGAGAGCTTGCCCTTGAAGGTGCAATAAGAAGGGAATATCCGTAAATCAGGAAACCTCCAACCAGGATTTCTGGATAACCTCAGAATTTTGGGAAAGTTACCAGAATTTTGCAACTCTAGGGAATGCCATAATGTACACTGAACAAAAAATATAAACGCATCATGTAAAGTGCTGGTCCAATGTTTCATGAGCTGAAATACAAGATCCCAGAAGTGTTCCGTACGTACAAAAAGCGTATTTCTCACAAATGTTTTGCACAACTTTGTTTACATCCCTGGTAGTGAGCATTTTATCCTTTGTCAAGATAATCCATCCACCTGACAGTTGTGGCATATCAAGAAGCACATCCGGCTTCTTCACCTGCGGGATCGTCTGAGGGGGAAGGGGCTGGGTGCTGAGGAGGATTTCTGTCTGTAATAAAGGCCTTTTGTGGGAAAAACTAATTCTGATTGGCTGGGACTGGTTCCCCAGTGGGTGATCACATATTGCAAACAAATAATCTGAACTAAAAACTCCACACATTTTGGAATTTCTGTGTGTCCTTGACCATCGCTAATCAATATCCAAAAACTGCATACGTTCTCTCTTTTGTGGCACCAATGTGAGGGTTTATGACAGAGGAAACTGTGTTGCAGTAGTCTAGTGTGTGGTGTGGGAATAATGACAAGTGAACCTGGGGAGCTTTGCGTTCACATTGTCCTAAAACAGGGAACCGGATCGCGGAATTCAAGCAAACCTCTCGAGATGGTCTCAGTTCGGTTCGCTTCAGGGGCTCTTTTGAGGGGTCTGAGTTCCTTTTGGAGTGTTCACGCTACACAAAAAATTAAGCAAACTGCACTGAGATCACAACAACTGTCTGAATGGGACCAATTGTGAACACCATTATTTTCACGCTACTTGTTCGGCCTGAATCTAGCATAGAGTCATGGGATTTGTAGCGCTATGCTGACGTTGCCTCCCTTCCGAGGCACATGTTGCTTGGCAACCACCCTGCACTTGCCACTTTTTCCCCTCTGTGGCTAAAGCCAGTGAGAAACATGCTTGCATGCTTATGTGCTATGAAATTAAATAAATACTGCACTCTGAACCACAAAACGTATTTGCTATATTCAAGATGGTGTAGTTAGACAAGCAAGGAAAGTAATTACGTGATGTAGTTTTATTGGGATTTGCAGCTATTGTTGGTTAGTAATGCCTCCTGCAACCTTTTAAAACGACTTACTCAACATTTAACAATAGTCTCTGCCAAAGGAATGTGTCTTAAAGGGAGAGTTCACTATTTAGCATATTTTAGCGGTGCTTTGAAAAGCATGGTGGGTAGATTTGACATGATAGTAATATTTCTACTGTAGTGGTGACATTGCAATGGTGTGATTTGAATTATACAATTGATACGAAAGTAAGCCCTCTTCCTCTGTCTGTCAGGGCCTCTGGACCACAACCTGTTTGTGGAGCCCATCACAGAGGAGCGAGCAGCACGCACCCTCTACCGTATCGAGCTACTGCGCAAGGTCAGGGAGCAGGTGCTGCGCCACCCACTGCTGGGCCCGCGGCTGCAGCTGTGTCGGCCCAGCCTCTACCTGCCTGTGTGGTGGGAGTGTGGTAAGCACGACCGCGATCCTCCTGATTGGAGCGGCCCGCCATGGCCTCAGCCGCACTGACTACTACATCCTCAATGACCCGCAGCTTTCTTTCCTGGAGGCCCACCGCAACTATGTCCAGAAGGAGAATCACCAGGGCTACCAACCCAGTGTGCACCACGCAGGCATGGCCCCCTCACCGCACCACCACCCCTACTGCCTGTACGAGACGGGCCTCGGCCAATGCCACTCTCCCCAGCCGCCGGAGTACGGTCACCCAGCCATCCCCTCCTCGTCGATCCACGCTCATTCTCACCCGAACATCCACGTCCATGGTCACCCGCCAGAGATAGTGGGCATGGACCCCGGTGGCAGGCTAGGTATGGTGTCCGTGCCCAGGGAGGGCTTCATGGTTTGCCCCCCTCTGGATGAGTCATTGGAGCTGGCTTCACTGCAGCATGAGGGCCTGGCCTCAGATTCCCTCCATTGCAAGTCTGCCAAGGAGGCCTGCAACGGATTCCCCTTCAACTCAGCGCAGGGCGGTCAGAGCATGCTCAACTCGTATGGTGTGCAGGGGGAGCTGAATGGTGAGCAGTCAGCCGACATGGACCCTATCATCACGGGCAAGCTGCGCAGCGACGTGCTGGTGGGCGAGCAGGGCTCCTCGGAAGAGACTGGCCTTATGGCCCCCTTGCTGGAACAGGAGCTGCAGGCGCCCTGGGAGAGCACGGACCACGTAGGCACCGCAGATGTTGTGGGCATGTTCAATGAGGCCGACCCCATCCTGGGGGCACCAGCCCTTGAGACAGAGTTCCTGGACACAGAGGAGCAGCCAGGAGACGGGGGAAGGGAGGACGGAGCAGGGGGAGCGCTTGACGACTGCCTAGGTATCCCCTCGTCCCGGAGCGACCCAGGGGAGCCGCTGCCTTCCAGTTTCATACTGTTCAAGAACATTGGTGTGAGCGAGGAGGAGCCTGCTGAGGAGCACACAAACCTCTCCGCCAGCCCCCCTCCTCCCTACATCCCCCCTCCGCACCTGTCGCTGTCCCATATGACCTTGCACACCCACCACCAGGGTGATGTCGAGGAGCCAGAGGACAAGCTGAGCGACTCGGACGCCGTCGCCCACATGCCCAGCCCTGATGAGAGAGAGGCAGAGAGGGATGTGTCCTTTGAGTTTGACAAAGAGGAGATGTCTGGGGACAGTCTGAGTCTGGTGGGGCTGGAGCAGGGCCTGGACGCCTCAGGTATACCATGCGAGGACTCTCTCCAAGAGGAGCCCTGCAATGGGATGGAGATGGGCTCTCCAGTGGAGTCATGTGATGCGGCTCTAGAGAGGCCAGGGGAAGAGACTTTAGAATGGAACACACCCTTAGGGCCAGGGAAGGAGGGGCTTCTAGAGGGGCAGTTTGAAGAACCCTTGGAGATATCGCCCATGGATTCCCAGGAGGAGGGACCAGTGGAGGGGCCTCTGGAAGACTTTTGTGAAGACCCAGCACCAGAAGGACCATTCGCAGGGCCGTTGGAGGAGCAGTACGACATAGAACCAGAAGGGGCCTCTGAGGGGCCCGCTGAAGCAGAGAGCACTTTAAGAGAACACACACTCCTCACTGTTGACGCAACAGACTCTCTACCCCCATCCTCCTCAGGCACCACGCCCCAGCCTGAGCCACCACTGTCCCCACGTGTGGCGGGAGAGGCACAGATCAAACTGGAGTTCCCTCTGGACCCAGAGAGCTCTGAGAGCAAGTCGGACATCCTGGAGCCTGACAGCACTGTCCTCACGCCTAAACTGGAGCAGACAGAGGTGCTGCTGGACGTGAAGGACGAGATCAAGAAGGAGAGGCCCCAAACTCCAGGTAATGAAGGGAGAGTTTTACATGCATCTAAAATATTTATATGAGTTGGACAAAAATAAGGTAGTGTGTGTGTGTGTGTGTGTGTGTGTGTGTGTGCGTACAGTTGAAGTCGGAAGTTTACATACACCTTAGTCAAATACATTTAAACTCAGTTTTTTACAATTCCTGACATTTAATCCTAGTAAAAATGCCCTGTTTTAGGTCAGTTAGGATTTTAAGGATGTGAAATGTCAGAATAATAGTAGAGTGATTTATTTCAGCTTTTATTTCTTTCATCACATTCCCAGTGGGTCAGAAGTTTACAAACACTCTAAGTATTTGGTAGCATTGCCTTTAAATTGTTTAACTTGGGTCAAACGTTTCGGGTAGCCTTCCACAAGCTTCCCACAATAAGTTGGGTGAATTTTGGCCCATTCCTCCTGATAGAGCAGGTGTAACTGAGTCAGGTTTGTAGGCCTCCTTGCTCGCACACGCTTTTTCAGTTCTGCCCACAAATTTTCTATAGAATTGTGGTCAGGGCTTTGTGATGGCCACTCCAATACCTTGACTTTGTTGTCCTTAAGCCATTTTGCCACAACTTTGGAAGTATGCTTGGGGTCATTGTCCATTTGGATGACCCATTTGCGACCAAGCTTTAACTTCCTGACTGATGTCTTGAGATGTTGCTTCAATATATCCACATAATTTTCCTTCCTCATGATGCCATCTATTTTGTGAAGTGCACCAGTCCCTCCTGCAGCAAAGAACCCCGCAGCATGATGCTGCCACCACCGAGCTTCATGGTTGGGATGGTGTTCTTCGGCTTACAAGCCACCGTCTTTTTCCTCCAAACATAACGATGGTCATTATGGCCAAAGTTCTATCAGACCAGAGGACATTTCTCCAAAAAGTATGATATTTGTCCCCATGTGCAGTTGCAAACCGTAGTCTGGCTCTTTTATGGCGGTTTTGGAGCAGTGGCTTCTTCCTTGCTGAGTGGCCTTTCAGGTTCTGTCGATATAGGATTTGTTTTACTGTGGATATACAGTGAGGGAAAAAAGTATTTGATCCCCTGCTGATTTTGTATGTTTGCCCACTGACAAAGAAATTATCAGTCTATAATTTTAATGGTAGGTTTATTTGAACAGTGAGAGACAGAAAAACAAAACAGAAATCCAGAAAAACGCATGTCAAAAATGTTATAAATTGATTTGCATTTTAATGAGGGAAATAAGTATTTGACCCCCTCTCAATCGGAAAGATTTCTGGCTCCCAGGTGTCTTTTATACAGGTAACGAGCTGAGATTAGAAGCACACTCTTAAAGGGAGTGCTCCTAATCTCAGTTTGTTACCTGTATAAAAGACACATGTCCACAGAAGCAATCAATCAATCAGATTCCAAACTCTCCACCATGGCCAAGACCAAAGAGCTCTCCAAGGATGTCAGGGGCAAGATTGTAGACCTACACAAGGCTGGAATGGGCTACAAGACCATCGCCAAGCAGCTTGGTGAGAAGATGACAACAGTTGGTGCGATTATTCGCATATGGAAGAAACACAAAATACCTGTCAATCTCCCTCGGCCTGGGGCTCCATGCAAGATCTCACCTCGTGGAGTTGCAATGATCATTAGAACGGTGAGGAATCAGCCCAGAACTACACGGAAGGATCTTGTCAATGATCTCAATGCAGCTGGGACCATAGTCACCAAGAAAACAATTGGTAACACACTATGCCGTGAAGGACTGAAATCCAGCAGTGCCCGCAAGGTCCCCCTGCTCAAGAAAGCACAAATACATGCCCGTCTGAAGTTTGCCAATGAACATCTGAATGATTCAGAGGAGAACTGGGTGAAAGTGTTGTGGTCAGATGAGACCAAAATGGAGCTCTTTGGCATCATCTCAACTCTACGTGCTTGGAGGAGGCGGAATGCTGCCTATGACCCCAAGAACACCATCCCCACCGTCAAACATGGAGGTGGAAACATTATGCTTTGGTGGTGTTTTTTTGCTAAGTGGACAGGACAACTTCACCGCATCAAAGGGACGATGGACGGGGCCATGTACCGTCAAATCTTGGGTGAGAACCTCCTTCCCTCAGCCAGGGCATTGAAAATGGATGACAATGACCCAAACCACACGGCCAAGGCAACAAAGGAGTGGCTCAAGAAGAAGCACATAAAGGCCCTGGAGTGGCCTAGCCAGTCTCCAGATCTTAATCCCATAGAAAATCTGTGGAGGGAGCTGATGGTTCGAGTTGCCAAACGTCAGCCTAGAAACCTTAATGACTTGGAGAAGATCTGCAAAGAGGAGTGGGACAAAATCCCTCCTGAGATGTGTGCAAACCTGGTGGCCAACTGCAAGAAACGTCTGACCTCTGTGATTGCCAACAAGGGTTTTGCCACCAAGTACAAAGTCATGTTTTGCAGAGGGGTCAAATACTTATTTCCCTCATTAAACTGCAAATCAATTGATAACATTTTTTACATGCGTTTTTCTGGATTTGTTTGTTGTTATTCTGTCCCTCACTGTTCAAATAAACCTACCATTAAAATTATTGACTGATCATTTCTTTGTCAGTGGGCAAACGTACAAAATCAGCAGGGGATCAAATACTTTTTTCCCTCACTGTAGATACTTTTGTACCTGTTTCCTCCAGCATCTTCACAAGGTCCTTTGCTGTTGTTCTGGGATTGATTAGCACTTTCGCACCAAAGTACGTTCATCTCTAGGTGACCGAACGCGTCTCCTTCTTGAGCAGTATGACGGCTGCGTTGTGCAATGGTGTTTATGCTTGCGTACTATTGTTTGTACAGATGAATACGGTACCTTCAGGCTCCCAAGGATGAACCATACTTTTAGAGATTTAAAATAAAATTCTGAGGTCTTCGCTGATTTCTTTTGATTTTCCCATGATGTCAAGCAAAGAGACACTGAGTTTGAAGGTAGGCCTTGAAATACATCCACAGGTACACCTCCAATTGACTCAAATTATGTCAATTAGCCTATCAGAAGCTTCTAAAGCCATGACATCATTTTCTGGAATTTTCCAAGCTGTTTAAAGGCACAGTCAACTTAGTGTATGTAAACTTCTGACCCACTGGAATTGTGATAGTGAATTATAAGTGAAATAATCCGTCTGTAAACAATTGTTGGAAAAATTACTTGTCTCATGCACAAAGTAGATGTCCTAACTGACTTGCCAAAACTATAGTTTATTAACAAGACAATTCTGAAATGGTTGAAAAACTAGTTTTAATGACTCCAACCTAAGTGTATGTATACTTCTGACTTCAACTTTACTGACTTCAACTTTATATGTGAGATTCTTCAAAGTAGCCACCCTTTTCCTTAATGACAGCTTTGCACACTCTTGGCATTCTCTCAACCAGCTTCACCTGGAATGCTTTTCCAACAGTCTTGAAGGAGTTCCCACATATCCTTAGCACTTGTTGGCTGCTTTTCCTTCACTCTGCTGTCCGACTCATCCCAAACCATCTCAATTGGGTTGAGGTCGGGGATTGTGGAGGCCAGGTCATCTGATGCAGCAGTCCATCACTCTCCTTCTTTGTAAATTAGTCCTTAAACAGCCTGGAGGTGTGTTGGGTCATTGTCTTGTTGACAAATGATAGTCCCACTAAGCCCAAACCAGATGGGATGGCGTATCGCTGCAGAATGCTTTACATTTACATTTACATTTTAGTCATTTAGCAGACGCTCTTATCCAGAGCGACTTACAGGAGCAATTAGGGTTAAGTGCCTTGCTCAAGGGCACATTTACGTCATTTAGCAGACGCTCTTATCCAGAGCGACTCACAAATTGGTGCATTCACCCTATAGCCAGTGGGATAACCACTTTACAATTTTGGGGGGGGGGGGGGGTAGAAGGATTACTTTATCCTATCCCAGGTATTCCTTAAAGAGGTGGGGTTTCAAATGTCTCCGGAAGGTGGTGAGTGACTCCGCTGTCCTGGCGTCGTGAGGGAGCTTGTTCCACCATTGGGGTGCCAGAGCAGCGAACAGTTTTGACTGGGCTGAGCGGGAACTATGCTTCCGCAGAGGAAGGGGAGCCAGCAGGCCAGAGGTGGATGAACGCAATGCCCTCGTTTGGGTGTAGGGACTGATCAGAGCCTGAAGGTACGGAGGTGCCGTTCCCCTCACTGCTCCATAGGCAAGCACCATGGTCTTGTAACGGATGCGAGCTTCAACTGGAAGCCAGTGGAATGTGCGGAGGAGGGGGGTGACGTGAGAGAACTTGGGAAGGTTGAACACCAGACGGGCTGCGGCGTTCTGGATGAGTTGTAGGGGTTTAATGGCACAGGCAGGGATGCCAGCCAACAGCGAGTTGCAGTAATCCAGACGGGAGATGACAAGTGCCTGGAATAGGACCTGTGCCGCTTCCTGTGTAAGGCAGGGTCGTACTCTCCGAATGTTGTAGAGCATGAACCTGCAGGAGCGGGTCACCGCCTTGATGTTAGCGGAGAACGACAGGGTGTTGTCCAGGGTCACGCCAAGGCTCTTCGCACTCTGGGAGGAGGACACAACGGAGTTGTCAACCGTGATGGCGAGATCATGGAACGGGCAGTCCTTCCCCGGGAGGAAGAGCAGCTCCGTCTTGCCAGGGTTCAGCTTGAGGTGGTGATCCGTCATCCATACTGATATGTCTGCCAGACATGCAGAGATGCAATTCGCCACCTGGTTATCAGAAGGGGGAAAGGAGAAGATTAGTTGTGTATCGTCAGCGTAGCAATGATAGGAGAGGCCATGTGAGGATATGACAGAGCCAAGTGACTTGGTGTATAGGGAGAAAAGGAGAGGGCCTAGAACTGAGCCCTGGGGGACACCAGTGGTGAGAGCACGTGGTGCGGAGACAGCTTCTCGCCACGCCACTTGGTAGTTGCGACCGGTCAGGTAGGACGCAATCCAGGAGTGAGCTGCGCCGGAGATGCCCAGCTCGGAGAGGGTGGAGAGGAGGATCTGATGGTTCACAGTATCAAAGGCAGCAGACAGGTCTAGAAGGACAAGAGCAGAGGAGAGAGAGTTAGCTTTAGCAGTGCGGAGAGCCTCCGTGACACAGAGAAGAGCAGTCTCAGTTGAATGACCAGTCCTGAAACCTGACTGGTTTGGATCAAGAAGGTCATTCTGAGAGAGATAGCAAGAGAGTTGGCTAAAGACGGCACGCTCAATAGTTTTGGAAAGAAAAGAAAGAAGGGATACTGGTCTGTAGTTGTTGACATCAGTGGGATCGAGTGTTGGTTTTTTGAGAAGGGGAGCAACTCTCGCTCTCTTGAAGACGGAAGGGACATGGCCAGCGGTCAAGGATGAGTTGATCAGCGAGGTGAGGTAGGGGAGAAGGTCACCGGAGATGGTCTGGAGAAGAGAGGAGGGGATGGGGTCAAGCGGGCAGGTTGTTGGGCGGCCTGCAGTCACAAGTCGCAGGATTTTATCTGGAGAGAGAGGGGAGAAAGAAGTCAAAGCATAGGGTAGGGCAGTGTGAGTAGGACCAGCAGTGTCATTAGACTTAACAAACGAGGATTGGATGTCGTCAACCTTCTTTTCAAAGTGGTTGACGAAGTCATCCACAGAGAGAGAGGAGGGGGGGGGGGGGGGGAGGGGGGGAGGATTCAGGAGGGAGGAAAATGTGGCAAAGAGCTTCCTAGGGTTAGAGGCAGATGCTTGGAATTTAGAGTGGTAGAAAGTGGCCTTAGCAGCAGAAACAGATGAAGAAAATGTAGAGAGGAGGGAGTGAAAAGATGCCAGGTCGGCAGGGAGTTTAGTTTTCTTCCATTTCCGCTCCGCTGCCCGGAGCTCTGTTCTGTGAGCTCGCAATGAGTCATCAAGCCACGGAGCTGGAGGGGAGGACCGAGCCGGCCGGGAGGATAGGGGACACAGAGAGTCAAAGGATGCAGAAAGGGAGGAGAGGAGGGTTGAGGAGGCAGAATCAGGAGATTGGAGGGAGAAGGATTGAGCAGAGGGAAGAGATGATAGGATGGAAGAGGAGAGAGTAGTGGGAGAGAGAGAGCGAAGGTTGCGGCGGCGCATTACCATCTGTGTAGGGGCAGAGTGAGTAGTGTTGGAGGAGAGCGAGAGAGAAAAGGAAACAAAGTAGTGGTCGGAGACATGGAGGGGAGTTGCAGTGAGATTAGTAGAAGAGCAGCATCTAGTAAAGATGAGGTCAAGCGTATTGCCTGCCTTGTGAGTAGGGGGGGACGGTGAGAGGGTGAGGTCAAAAGAGGAGAGGAGTGGAAAGAAGGAGGCAGAGAGAAATGAGTCAAATGTGGACATAGGGAGGTTGAAATCCCCCAAAACTGTGAGGGGTGAGCCATCCTCAGGAAAGGAACTTATCAAGGCGTCAAGCTCATTGATGAACTCTCCAAGGGAACCTGGAGGGCGATAGATGACAAGGATATTAAGCTTAAATGGGCTAGTGACTGTGACAGCATGGAATTCAAATGAGGAGATAGACAGGTGGGTTAGGGGAAAAATTGCGAATGTCCACTTGGGAGAGATGAGGATTCCTGTGCCACCACCCCTCTGACCAGATGCTCTCGGGGTATGCGAGAACACATGGTCAGACGAGGAGAGAGCAGTAGGAGTAGCAGTGTTTTCAGTGGTAATCCATGTTTCCGTCAGCGCCAGGAAGTCGAGGGACTGGAGGTTAGCATAGGCTGGGATGAAGTCAGCTTTGTTGGCAGCAGAACGGCAGTTCCAGAGGCTGCCTGAGACCTGGAACTCCAGGTGTGGGGTGCGTGCAGGGACCACCAGGTTAGAGAGGCAGCAGCCACGCGGTGTGAGGCGTTTGTGTAGCCTGTGCAGAGAGGAGAGAACAGGGATAGGCAGAGGCATAGTTGACAGGCTGTAGCAAATGGCTACAATAATGCAGAGGAGATCGGAATGAAATGAACTAAACATCTGGAAGAAGAGAGAGCAGGGCCTCCCTCACCAAAACGTCCACCTCAGAAACTATAATTGTTTCACTGAACCACCCGAACAAAAACTCTCCCAACTTCCACCTTTAGAAATCAGAATTGTTGTGAACCACAGCGGTTCAATGTTTAAAGGAGTAGACTCAACCCACTTTATTCAGCTAGCTAACTATGACACCATAGCTAACTAGCATGCTAGCATCCAATAACACACAGTTTAGCACCAACACTTGGTCACAACAAACCACCAATAGTGTGTTAACACACTAAGCAGATAATTCGTGTCCGTGTCTAGTTCCTTTCATAACGCAGCAATAATTAAACGTTGGCTAGCTTAGCACAAATATATTGTATTTAGCTGCCACAGTACAGCACACAATGGCTACTATGTTGACTCTGTTCGAAAAATGGCTAGCTAGCTAGCTTCGTGCTACACCGAAGACAATGCCAACCTACAGTAACTACCCACAACAGCCCACGATGCCTAACTATGACGCCATAGCTAACTAGCATGCTAGCATCCAATAACACACAGTTTAGCACCAATACTTGGTTACAACAAACTACCAATAGTGTGTTAACACACTAAACAGATAATTCGTGTCCGTGTCTAGTTCCTTTCATAACGCAGCAAAAATTAAACGTTGGCTAGCTAGCACATTAACATTGGAAACAACTCTCCACCGTTGTTAAACGTTACCAGTAGCTACCCGCTAGCTAGCTAGCCTCGTGCTTTCTCCGGGCTCCGCCGTAAACAATACTTACCTACAATAATTACCTACGGAAACCTACGGAAACCTACAATAACTACCTAAATAAACTACCTACAATACCTAACTACAACTACCTACCTACGATCAAATGCATGGTTTAAGCTTTACTCAACACCATATAAGAAGCCAAGCTTACCTCAAGCTTACCTCCTGCTAGAGAACACACAACCTCTCCCGACCCTACATACTATTCTACTGGCTTTGGTAGCCATGCTGGTTAAGTGTGCCTTGAATTCTAAATAAATCAGACAGTGTCACCAGCAAAGCACCCCCACACCATAACACCTCCTATTCCATGCTTTACGGTGGGAAATACACATGTGGAGATCATCTGTTCACCCACACCGCTTCTCACAATGACACAGGGGTTGGTACCATAAATGTCCAATATGGACTCCAGACCAAAGGACACATTTCCACCGGTCTAATGTCCATTGCTCATGTTTCTTGGCCCAAGCAGGTCTCTTCTTCTTATTGGTGTCCTTTAGTAGTGGTTTCTTTGCAGCAATTTGACCATGAAGGCCTGATTCACACAGTCCCCTCTGAACAGTTGACGTTGAAATGTGTCTGTGACATGAACTCTGAAGCATTTATATGGGCTGCAATTTCTGAGGCTGGTAACTCTAATGAACTTATCCTCTGCAGCAGAGGTAACTCTGGGTCTTCCTTTCCTGTGGTGGTCCTACTGAGAGCCAGTTTCATCATAGCGCTTGATGGTTGTTGCGACTGCACTTGAAGAAACTTTCAAAGTTCTTGACATTTTCCGGATTGACTGACCTTTGTGTCTTAAAGTAATGCTGGACTGTCGTTTGTCTTTGCTTATTTGAGCTGTTCTTGCCATAATATGGACTTGGTCTTTTACCAAACAGGGCTATCTTCTGTATACCAACCCTTCCTTGTCACAACACAACTGATTGACTCAAAGACATTAAGAAGGAAATATATTCCACAAATTAACTTTTAACAAAGCACACCTGTTAATTGAAATGCATTCCAGGTGACTACCTCATGAAGCTGGAGAATGCCAAGAGAGTGCAAAGCTGTCATCAAGGCTAAGGGTGGCTACTGTGAAGAATCTCAAATATAAAATATATTTTGATTTGTTTAACACTTTTTTGGTTACTACATAATTCCATATGTGTTATTTCGTAGTTTTGGTGTCTTCACTATTATTCTACAATGTAGAAAATATTAAAAATAAAGAAAAACCCTTGAATGAGTAGGTGTGTCCAAACTTTTGACTGGTACTGTATGAAAATTGGAAAACTCCAGGTAGCCTACAGCTGTTAAGCTGCACTCCATATAACAGAATAAAATATGGTTAAAAATTGCTGTGGTTTTTGGTTTTAGCAGGCTTCAAACATGTAGCATTTAAAATGACCTTTCCATCACCACCTCCATATGCCCTGTAGTTGAGATGTTGTGTACTGAATCACTGTCTCTCTCCACAGCCTCTGTGGTGGACAGCTATGTGGAGGTGGCACAGTTTGCAGCCCCCATGTCCATGTGTGAGATGCCTGACAGTCTGCAGGACACGCGGGAGCCCACCATCGCCCAGCTGCTGCAGGAAAAAGCCCTCTACTCCTTCTCCGAGTGGCCAAAGGTACGGTACACGGGGAGTTGACCTGCCAACCGCCTTGAAAACTGTTTCTGTTTCATGTTTGACAAGGGGAATTGGTTGACAATATCGGATTAGGGTAAAACTATTTTATTCCAAAAATCTGATTTTCAAACTAATCCTTAACCATATGTCCATAACCTTATGTCGAACACTAACCTTTAAATTAAGACCAAAAAGCAGATTTTCATAATCATACTTTTGTATATATAGTGTATGTGGACACCCCTTCAAATTAGTGGATTCTGCTATTTCAGCCACACCCGTTGCTGACAGGTGTATACAATTGAGCACACAGCCATGCAATCTCCATAGACAAACATTGGCAGTAGAATGGCCTAACTGAAGAGCTCAGTGACTTTCAACGTTGCACCGTCATCGGATGCCACCTTTCCAACAAGTCAGTTCGTCAAATTTCTGCCCTGCTAGAGCTGCCCCGGTCAATTGTAAGTTATGTTATTGTGAAGTGGAAACGTCTAGGAGCAACAACGACTCAGTCGCGAAGTGGTAGGCCACATAAGCTCACAAAACGGGACCGGCGAGTGGTGAAGCATGTAGCATGTAAAAATTGTCTCTCCTCGGTTGCAACACTCCCTACCGAGTTCCAAACTGCCTCTGGAAGCAACGTCGGCACAAGAACTGTTAGTCGGGTGCTTCATGAAATGGGTTTCCATGGCCGTGCTCAATGCCATGCGTCAGCTGGAGTGGTGTAAAGCTCACCGCCATTAGACGCTGGAGCAGTGGAAAAGCGTTCTCTGGAGTGAAGAATCACACTTCACCATCTGGCAGTCCGACGGACGAATCTGGGTTTGGCGGATGCCGGTAGAACGCTACCTGTCCAAATGTTTAGTGCCAACTGTAAAGTTTGGTGGAGGACGAATAATATTCTGGGGCTGTTATTCATGGTTCGGGCTAGGCCCCTTAGTTCCAGTGAAGGGAAATCTTAACGCTACAGCATACAATGGCATTCTAGACAATTCTGTGCTTCCAGCTTTGTGGCAATGGTTTGTGGGATGCCCTTTCGTGTTTCATCATGACAATGCCACCGTGCCCAAACCAAGGTCCATACAGAAATGGTTTGTTGAGATCGGTGTGGAAGAACTTGACTGGCCTGCACAGAGCCTTGACCTTAACCCTATCAAACACCTTTGGGATGAATTGGAACACCGACTGCGAGCCAGGCCTAATCGCCCAACATCAGTGCCCGACCTCACTAATGCTCTTGTGGCTGAATGGAAGCAAATCCCTGCAGCAATGTTCCAATATCTAGTGGAAAGCCTTCCCAGAAGAGTGGAGGCTGTTATAGCAGCAAAGGGGGGACCAACTCCATGTTAATGCCCATGATTTTGGAATGAGATGTTCGACGAGCAGGTGTCCACATACATTTGCTCATGTAGTGTACATTTTCACGATATAGCCAATTTTGACTTTGCAGCTAGGCCATATACTGGGAACCAGGGCAATGATGCGTGGGGCTTTTTTGTGCACCTTTGCGTTGCAGGATCGGGTGATCATCAACCGCCTGGACAGCATCTGTCACGCCATCTTGAAAGGGAAGTGGCCCTCTTCCATCCAGCAGTATGACTCTCCCAGCTCTCTGGAAAACACCTATGTGCCCAACAGTGTGCACCAGAGTGCTGGCGTCATCTCAGCCAGGGTACAGCCATCCCAGAGGCTTAACTTCAACATCCCAGCCCCGCCTGTCACCCGCCTGCCCAAGGTGACAAGTGCATGTTCATCTTCTGTCCCTTTCTCACGTCATAATTCATAACCATCGTTGTTGAAATCCTTATTTTCTGACGTTTTTGTGGATATTCGCCAGTCTATTGTCAGTATTCATTGTTAATATTTTTCCATTCTTCTTCCATTTCCATCCTGTTCAGTACAAGTCAAGAAATGCCGGGGAATGCAGCCGGGGAGGCTGGAGGTTGACATCCTTGCCTCTCTTGCAGGAGAGGTTGGTGGCGCCGCCCTATCTGCCCGAACTAAAGCGGGGTAGGCGTGCGTTTGAGTACGAGGCAGAGGTGGTCAGTAAGCAGTACCACACAGGGGAGAAGATGCCCGTAACTCTGTCGAACAGAGGCGGGGCACTGCTGCTCAACGGCTGGCAGGAGGCGGCCATGGACCTCTCCAAGGCCGGGGATCTGGGTATTGGGGGCGAAGCGGCAGCCACTGTAGGCCACATGAGCAACCAGGACCACCCCGGTGCCCAAAAACTGCCCGCCATGGGGGCCATGCAGAGTGCCATGCAGGGTTCGGTGGGGATGGACATGGCCGGGATCCTGCAGGCAGGTCTCATCCACCCCGTCACTGGCCAAATCGTCAACGGCAACCTGAGGTGTGACGACGCCATCATGCGCCGGAGGAGAGGCAGACGGAGAAATGTGGAGGCGGTTGACATCGGGTTCGTCAAGAGCAGAGGAATGCATGTGCCGGAACAACAGGTTTGTCAAGTCAAAACTCCTTTTGGTTTTGTGAACAGCAAAAGGGCCAGCTTAATGGTACTAGTTTTCTGCACCTCCTGGTTTTGATGATAATTACTGTGGACCTGTCCCCCCACCAAGTTCAGGGTGAAGGACAGTAAAGTGAACTTGTGGTTTGGTGCTTGGAGGCAATTGGTATGCAAGGTTGTACAATAGCGTATCACTAGTAGTGTTGTCACGATACCAGGTTTAGTATCACAATACTCAATACCATCACAATACTCGATATCAAAACGATACCACTGCAAAAAAAGGTGTATTAGCCAAAGTCACAGAATGGCACTTGATCCAGACAGATAAACTCAGCTACTGCTCTGTTCAATCGTTGGACGTCTTTTGAGTTATGAAATGTCACTTCTGACACCAATGTAATGAAACAGGCAGGGGGTGTGGCACGAACCCTCAACCTTCTGGCCGGTAGCCCAGCGGAAATCGACTGTGCCACAAAAGCATGCTCCAGTGGCAGAGTCGATATCCGCGCTTATAAGCCAGGGTCGCTACATTATCTTTGGACTTGAGGGAGAGACGATTGTGAATTAATTACGTTTTTGGTGACAATAAGCTTTGAAATCAGCATATTTTGCGTTTTATTTTTATTATACTAGGATTTTGAATTGATGTCAGTTCAGCTGTAACTTGCACAGAAAGATAGCCTACAAAGCTGGAAGCTACCAGTATCTTTTAGTTTTAAAATTATTCAAGTGTGTTAACTTCTGTGCAGCATGAGTGGAGAGCTAACCTGTTGCAGCCAAGACACTCTCAGTGCTCTAGCAATGAGTAAGTGGAGCAGGCAAGAGGCACGCTGTGCTCGTGGGACATTGGCTGCAATGATAGACAAACTTGATCCTCTCAATCAGTATGCGACGTGAGACACAATTGACAGAAGTACCGAAGTAAAAAAAGATAATCTAGTACCGAACCATTTTTAATGTTCTAGTATCGAAAAAGTACAGAGTTTCGTTATACCGTGCAACACTAATCACTAGCGCTTCATACTAGAGTTGAGTTGGGAATCAAAGACACCTGTTTGTTTCCCTGTGTTTTTTCCTCTACAGGGCAGGGTAGATTCTGCAGTGTCGTCCACCTCCTCCCCACCGGAGCGGCCCCCGGGAACCTCCACCCCCACCCAGTCAGAGGTGGTGGCCATCGACAGAGAGGCTGCCAACAAGAGCTTGATGGAATGGCTGCGACAGAATCCCAACTACAACATGGAGGTGCCCACTTTCGCACCGGTGAGTTGATCCTCCATGCACATTCATCTTATCCATTGTCCAAATTCCCTTTTCTTTTGTGAAATCCCAGTTGGAGGATTCCCTCTCCATTGGAGGATTCCTGGAATCAAGAGGGAATAAGCAGGAGGGAACTGGGATTTCTGAAAAACTTGTTAACTTTGAGAACGTTTCTGTTAAGAGGGTTCAACTCACCAGCTGATTTTATAGTAAGGTTTTATAGTAAGTGAATATCATTTGGAGTAGTGTGCTTTTCTTGCCAAATCTTGGGTTTCAGTCTCCTGGCGCAGCGATTTTGCACAGCTTTGTGGAGCGGCCCAAGCAGCGGCGGCATCGCTGCAAAGACCCAACCAAGCTGGACGTCAACTCCCTAACAGGGGAGGAGAGGGTCCCCGTGGTTCATAGGGGCACTGGCCGTAGGGTAACTATTTTGACTCAAACACACACACACACACCAACACTGATGCACAAGCACTGAACACTGAAGCACACTGATATTAACCATCCCAAAATTCTTATGAGAGTAAAGTACCTGTCGGATAAAAAAAAACTCACGAGAGGCCTGATGGAAACAGCAAATTGTGGCTAAACTTTCCTATTTTTCATAAACAAAATACGTTCGACGGGTGGATAATTTTTTTGTCGGTGAAATAGATACAGTGGGGAGAACAAGTATTTGATACACTGCCAAATTTGCAGGTTTTCCTACTTACAAAGCATGTAGAGGTCTGTAATTTTTATCATAGGTACACTTCAACTGTGAGAGACGGAATCTAAAACAAAAATCCAGAAAATCACATTGTATGATTTTTAAGTAATTAATTTGCATTTTATTGCATGACATAAGTATTTGATACACCAGAAAAGCAGAACTTAATATTTGGTACAGAAACCTTTGTTTGCAATTACAGAGATCATATGTTTCCTGTAGGTCTTGACCAGGTTTGCACACACTCCAGCAGGGATTTTGTCCCACTCCTCCATACAGACCTTCTCCAGATCCTTCAGGTTTCAGGGCTGTCGCTGGGCAATACGTACTTTCAGGTCCCTCCAAAGATTTTCTATTGGGTTCAGGTCTGGAGACTGGCTAGGCCACTCCAGGACCTTGAGATGCTTCTTACGGAGCCACTCCTTAGTTGCCCTGGCTGTGTGTTTCGGGTCGTTGTCATGCTGGAAGACCCAGCCACAATCCATCTTCAATGCTCTTACTGAGGGAAGGAGGTTGTTGGCCAAGATCTCGCGATACATGGCCCCATCCATCCTCCCCTCAATACGGTGCAGTCGTCCTGTCCCCTTTGCAGAAAAGCATCCCCAAAGAATGATGTTTCCACCGCCATGCTTCACGGTTGGGATGGTGTTCTTGGGGTTGTACTCATCCTTCTTCTTCCTCCAAACACGGCGAGTGGAGTTTAGACCAAAAAGCTATATTTTTGTCTCATCAGACCACATGACCTTCTCCCATTCCTCCTCTGGATCATCCAGATGGTCATTGGCAAACTTCAGACGGGCCTGGACATGCGCTGGCTTTGCAGGGGGACCTTGCGTGCGCTGTAGGATTTTAATCCATGACGGCATAGTGTGTTACTAATGGTTTTCTTTGAGACTGTGGTCCCAGCTCTCTTCAGGTCATTGACCAGGTCCTGCCGTGTAGTTCTGGGCTGATCCCTCACCTTCCTCATGATCATTGATGCCCCACGAGGTGAGATCTTGCATGGAGCCCCAGACCGAGGGTGATTGACCGTCATCTTGAACTTTTTCCATTTTCTAATAATTGCGCCAACAGTTGTTGCCTTCTCACCAAGCTGCTTGCCTATTGTCCTGTAACCCATCCAAGCCTTGTGCAGGTCTACAATTTTATCCCTGATGTCCTTACACAGCTCTCTGGTCTTGGCCATTGTGGAGAGGTTGGAGTCTGTTTGATTGAGAGTGTGGACAGGTGTCTTTTATACAGGTGACGAGTTCAAACAGGTGCAGTTAATACAGGTAATGAGTGGAGAACAGGAGGGCTTCTTAAAGAAAAACTAACAGGTCTGTGAGAGCCGGAATTCTTACTGGTTGGTAGGTGATCAAATACTTATGTCATGCAATAAAATGCAAATTAATTACTTAAAAATCATACAATGTGATCTTATGGATTTTTGTTTTAGATTCCATCTCTCACAGTTGAAGTGTACCTATGATTAAAATTACAGACCTCTACATGCTTTGTAAGTAGGAAAACCTGCAAAATCGGCAGTGTATCAAATACTTGTTCTCCCCACTGTATGTGACAAATGGCGGTGGATACACTTTTTTGCGCAATTGTTGATAGAATAACCATCATGTCACAGTAAACTTGCAGTCATGCGACGCTTTGTTGTGCGGTCCTCCCACAACAACTTGGAAAAGCATGCACAGTTTATTAGGCTACAGATGAAATAGGTTATCAAATCAAAGTTTATTGGTCGCATACACCATTTAGTAGATGTTATAGCGGGTGCAGCAAAATGCTTATGTTACTAGCTCCTAACAATGCAGTATGATGAACTTAACAGGGTGGTGAAAGTGCATGCTGAGCTTGATGCTAATTTCAAATGAAGTTTGAGGGTCATAATTTGTATGCTGGTGACAATGAGGATCGGAGTTTGGCTGCCAGTTGACAAATAAATATTATCTTGCTCTTATCAATAATCTCATCACCCACTGCACTGTACCCTGTCTGCGAGCTGTTGGCTACACCAGACCAGAGTGTGCATTTGCTGTTTATCGCAATACTTTTTGTGGCAAAACCATCGACAGAGGTAAAAATGGGGATGGAAACACATTAGAGGTTCTATTTTTTTATTGGGTAAATCAAAAAGTTATACAACAGAGTTTTTTATGTGCACGTTGTCATTACACAGAGCTTTTTTTATTCACAAAAACACAGTTTGATGGAAACACAGCTGCCGTTAAAATATGCATATTTTTTTTGCAAATACTACAATATTCGTTTAAATCTTTCGACAGATGTATTTTTACCTAGCTACTGGCATTTCTTTATCCATGGTTAACAGGTGAATGAAGACACTTCTCCCCACCCAACTGTGCTCCTTCACATTGATTGAATACACTCCTTTGATAAGACATAGCATAACAAAATGTGCATTAAATGTAATAAATGTTTGACATGCTTTGACAAGATAACAGCCTGAATTATACACATATGCATCATTTATATTTATGGTATGTGTGTGTGTGTGTACAACAACTCATTGAGGGCTGTATTTTTCTGTGCTGTAGCTTGGGGGTGCTATGGCTCCAGCAATCAAGGAGCTTTCCCGATGGCTGGATGCGAATACTGAGTACTGCGTGGCACCCGACTGGGCAGATGTCGTGAAACACTCTGTGAGTAGCATGGCATTTTCACTCTCTCTCATCCACATAAATGTCCCATCAAATAGTTTCATTAGAATGCTTCCATTTTTAATTAGGCATTTAATCATCTTGAATAGTGCAGTTGTCAGAACCTACTGCCTCACAAAGACTACAGATGTCATTCAAATCCCTTACTGCATTTTCCTCAAGCTAATGCCTTGCGTTTCCAGGGCTTTCTTCCCGAGGGCAAGTTCACCCGCATCCTCACTGAGCCCGTGTGCCGCGACCAGGGGCCCCGCCGACGGGGCCGTCGTCCCCGCGGCGAAATGCCCAAGCCCCTCCTCTCTGAGTCGCCTATGGGCCCGCTCTTTATGAACGGCGGCCTGATCGGTAGCATGGACCTGGTCAGCCTCCAGAACCTTCACAATGTCCAGGGCATCCCACTCACAGGCTTGATGGGATTCCCCCATGGCTTTGCTGTGTCTGCCGGCGAGGACGCAAAGAATGGCCTGAGCATGCTGCCCATGATGCTCCACGGCATACACGGCGCCCCCCACATGTTCAGCGTTCAGGGACTGAAGGGGCAGCCGCCCACCTGCTCCGCTACCACCACCTCCTCCTTGGCTGCAGTTACCACCACTACGGCCTCCTCCTCAGCGGCCAGTAGCCCCTCCCGAGGCCCCAGCCAGGCATCTTCGAGCACAGGGGCCGAGGGCTCCGGCATTCAGCCTGGCACAGAGAGAAAGAGGGAGGACAAGCAGCAAGGTGCGATGGGCAGCCACAGCATCGCGGCCATCACCACCACCGCGGCGACCAGCAGCAGCAGTGGCGTCGGCAGTAGCAGTGGCAGCCACCTGGCCTTCAACCCTTTCCTCGTTCCGGGGATGTCCCATGGACTGCTGTACCCTCACATGTTCCTCCCGCACGGGGGCATCATGGCGCTGCCAGGCATGCCGCCTGCAGACTCCTCCGGCAGCCCAAAGAGGAAGAAAAGAACAAGGGAGGAAGGGGTGGTGGTGGTGGAGGAGGCAGGCAGACACAGCCACTTACAGACGGACAGTGGGCCTCCGAAAAAACCCAGTGATGGCCAGACTGGGGAGAGCACGGCTGACCAGGCCGGGCCGGAGGCAAGGGAGCAGATGGAGGACAACATTCAGCAGGAGGGCACGGGACACGACTCCCATGATCCTCCAGAGGTAAACCCCAAGAAGAGCGTTGAAGAGGAGAGAGGATCGGAGGAGAATAGCGTGATTGAGGAGGAAAAACTGCCTGAGGAGGAGAGAGAGTCAAGGGGGGCAGAGGATTCACAATAGACTTCTTCTCCCTCCTCTTTCTTACTGTGCAACAGTGTTACGTTTGTGGTGTGTAAGTAACTTAATTTTTATGTAAATACTTTTATCCACTTATTTTTTATAGCGCTCCTGCCCTGTAGCAAATGTGTGATTATCTTATACTGTATATCCCCACACATGCTCCATTCAAGAACTTCATGAAAGAGATGCAAACAGACACTTGCAAGCGAAGGGAGGAATTGCGCAACTGTGTTACATGGTTGTAACAATTCAAGCATCCTTGACGGTCTGCTGCGTCATGATCGTGGCACTTTAAGATGCCTGGTATGTCCTGGTTGCAAAAAGGTAAAGCTGGGGGCCTTTTTGACTGAAGAGGAGAAGGATTTTGGGTTGTGTTCATTAGGGCATGCAATGGAGAACATTGTCAAACGGTAAATGTGTGTTTCTTATCAAGGAGTCCCACCCTGTTTCAGTCAGTTTTTTTTTTATCCATTTGGTGCGTAATGATCACAACCAAGAAGGATGTAGCCGTCTAGTGATTAATGTCCCTTCAGTTTACTTGATGGTGTTAAGGAATGTGAATATCCCCCTACAGTTGTTTCATGTCCCGAAAGCCTAAAACTAATGGCAATTTTATTTGAAGGTCCTTCAAAATGTGTTGAATATAATAATTTATTAATCGGTATATCATTTTTATATCAATACATGCAAGGTAGCTTGCAGCCCCAAGTTTGAGAAGAAGCATAACTGCTGCTGAGAAGTTCTCTATAGGACAGCTTTTGTCCATCCCTATTTGGTTTGTCTTGTTAATGCTATATAAACATTTTTCAAAAGGAAATAGACCAACAAAAGTGTGTAAAACAGATTTGGAGAAAACAATGATGGTAGTTTAACTGATCGAGAGAACACATATTGAGTACGACGGCTACAAAAAATAAAAGATTGCTTATAACGGAAGGCAAAGAATAATCCAGAGTTTTTATAATGCTTAAAAAAATAAATACAATAAAAACATCTCAGAAAGGTCACTTTGGGGTATGGTCAGCTTTGTCAGTGCGGGGAGCAGGGAAGAAGTGCCATAGACAAGTCTGTCACAGAGAGCTCTGTTGAGATAGCCAGTGCCTCACCGGTGAGGGACAAGCACACAGACGGTACTTCACTAAGGGAGAGGGGTGGTGTGGGGTGTGCAAAATGTAAAAAGAATCTGTCCATTCCCATCCACCTTTCCAGTGATAGGGAAAAGTTAGTTGTTTGATCACAGATACTGTATGTAAAGCAGTGGCGGAGTGCCTCGTTGTTTTAAAGGCTTCGTGGTCTCCTTTTCTTTCCTTAGAAGCATTTTAAGCTCCTGTTGACTAGGTCATACTCAGAATGTTAAATGTAAATCTATTTAGCTGTATATTGCTGTCACTTTTGTTTACAAGCACACCACGTTTTTAGTTTTCTCCATTTTGTCCCTCGACATTAGGGGGAAATGGCAAAATCAGTACCAGTGTTTCTTGTATTTAACATACTGTACTACCCTAAATGGATGCAAAAGCTGATTTTATTCTCCATTTTACAACAGGGTCTGTTTTTTGGGATATTTGTTTTAGACTTAGCTTCTACGCATAACAACTTGACTTCACTTTTTGTTTGTGCAAAAAAAAAAAAAAAACGGTGTCCTTTTTGGTGAATGTTTACCTGTACCTGTATTCTGTCTATTCATATTTTATTTGTGTATGTGTGCATGCATGCGCACACTTACACAACCTGTCCCATGGGTTACATTCTTTTCTAGAGCTGTATTTCTACCACTTGTCTTGCTCTAGCGTCACCTTTCTTTGTTGGAAGACAAGTTATTGTTGCCTTGTCACAACTTGTGACTATATAATTTATTTGTTTTTCTTTGCCAAACTTTCACCAAATATGACATTATTTTTCTTTCAACTTAGTTGATTATATTAAAAGTAAAATGCCTTATTTAGCTAGTGTTTTATATATAGATGTTTTGTTACATCTCCATATTGGAAGTTATATATCAAAAGTATTTTGTTTAGTTTGTTTGAAATGCCCCTTCAGTTGTATGCATACATCCCTTGGTAATGTGAAAAACCAGGATTTGGCATTTGGTGGTATCAGTCACTGCAGTGTTATAAGATAATCTACTCAAGTTATCTTTATGGTCCAATTCACTTACTCCAAAAAGTGACTCAATCAATCTTCCAAAGCACAATGGAGAACAACTAATTATTACTGTTTTCTCATCAGTGCCTCTGAGATTTGGTTTGATATTTTCTCTTCATTTGTCAAACTTCCGCTGATTACAAAATGTATGTAGATAATCTAGGCTGAAGTCACTAATGCGAAACATCCCTGAACCTATTCCAAACTTATCTAATGTAATCAATGTGAAGGGTGCCATGCAATTCCTTATTGATCATGTCTGAGTGTCCCCTTGTTTCACTCAAACAACAAGCTTTTCATATGCTTATATTCACTTAACAGGCCTTCAGTTTTCGTAAAGACATCAAGGGTGCACAGTATGTATACAACTGAAGTGGATGTGATGTTAAAACCTATGCTCATCCAATTGTTGACCTATTCTGCATGTTGGATCCAATATTCCACTACCATTGGCTGAGTAATGTGTCTTCAGATAGACAAGTAATCTGTTTTGGGGAATATAAAGTAGATTATTAGATCTCAACACACCAGCCCTCATCCATTTTCTATTACTTCGCTTGTATGTGAAAACTTGAAAAACAACTAATTGGTGCAGTATGTGACTACAGTTGGTCAATTAATATTTATTCAGTCTTCATGTTCTGAACACGTTTTACTGTGTTTTCTTTTCAGTTAGTCTTTGGTAATTTATGGAAAGGTCAGATTTGATTTCAAGTCGTGTATTTCTTGTACAAGTCTTGTCTAAGCATTTTCATGTTTGTGCCTGGTGTGTAACGTCAGGGTTCAGAGGGACAACAGTCACGCTTCAAAGGCTTGCTGGCTCGTTGGACATTTTAGAATGTTTGTTGTATCTTTTCTGCCATCACCTGTGGCGAGAATAGTTTAAAATACATAAATGTTATAACTTTTCCTGAAAAAAGTGTAACGCACTTAACATGTGCCATAGATTGTGGGTCATTTGGGATAAGGTAAATTGTATCAGTGTGAACTTTTGGCTGAATTGTACTATAACCTATTTCTGCAGTCAGGTCAGACACTAGGCCCTATACATACATTCTGTTAAGTATTTGCATGTCAGAGGAAAGATGCAGGCTCTGGCTTTCCAATGCCATGCTATGTGTGTTGTGATTGCATGCCTGGACATGCTGGTTATATAGGCCCAGAAAATTGCCACAATCCAAGTTGCAGAGATGGCAGACCACTCTGACTGTGTGTGTCTGCATGCATGCTTCAAGTTTCTGTTCAACAGCTGCTTGCATAAGAACCGTTGACAGATTAGGACATTTGTTTTCAGGCTCATACAGTCAAAGCCAGTGTTCACTAAATGAGTTTACTGTAAAGCTACATTGAACCAAGTGCACTGTGTGTGGGAACATCATGCTACAAAAGAAAAGTACTGGCTGACGTAAGCTACATTAAGTTGTGGATTACATTTTTTTGTTGACTAGCTCCAGTATTCCCTTGTGGACCAATCACATAATTCAGAACATGGTATGTGATCTTTTATTGTGCAATAAAAGATGACTTTCAACTTTCATCAAGTGAAGGGGTATTCATTTCTCAACATACTACTAGCAGCAGCTAGTTTAAGCGAGAAGAATAGGGTGGAGAGAAATGTTTGCTGTTTTTAATATATCTGAGTGAGCGTTACTAACAAAATCAATGGGGCCGTCGGGAGAATCTTGACAACTGCAAGAAAGTGTGCCTATTTTCAGACTGTGATACCAGGCCAAATATCACGAGACCGCTCTGTATCACTGGGTTTTGGTTACTACATGATTCCATATGTGTTATTTCATAGTTTTGATGTCTTCACTATTATTCTACAATGTAGAAAATAGTAAAAATAAATTTCTAAAGCTTTTGACCGGTAGTGTATATTATAATATTGTATTTTTATCTCAATCATTGTAATGTGGTTAACCTTAATCGAAATGAAAATTATTCAAATCTAAAAGATAAAATTCAAAGAGATGCCCTTAGATAATGGGAAAAGGAAGCACTTGACAGTTGCACTTGAATCATTCCCACGGTGAACGGCTAGGCCCGCTACGCTATGAAACTACACTATAGCAGAGACTGATATTACCAGCTGCAATTGATATGGTGAAACAATGCGTGGGGAGGCAGAGGCACGGAAACTCACATCAATACCTTTTGTCAGATAACACTGTTAAACAAATAATTTATGCTATTGCTAGAAACTGACTGAACGACTCAAACTCCCCAGTTTATGCTCTCCAAATGGATGTTAGCTGTGAGGGCCGAGATGCCCATGCATTTACTTGTTTGCTATACAGTGCATTTGGAAACTATTCAGAACCCTTCCCTTTTTCCACATTTTGTTACGGTACAGCCTTATTCTAAAATGGTTAAAATGAAAGAAAAATCCTCATCAGTCTAAGCACAATACCCCATAATGACAAAGTGAAAGCAAGTTTTTGGAAATCTTTGAACATTTATAAAAAATGAAAAACATACCTTATTTACATAAGTATTCAGACCCTTTGTTATGAGAATCGAAATTGACCTTAGGTGCATCCTGTTTCCATTGATCATCCTTGATGTTTCTACAACTTGATTGGAGTCCACCTGTGGTCAATTCAATTGATTGGACATGATTTGGACTGAAGCCACTCCTCAGTAAAAGGCACATGACAGCCCGCTTGGATTTGCCAAAAGGCACCTAACGGACTCTCAGACCATGAGAAACAAGATTCTCTGGCCTGATGAAACCAAGATTGAACTCTTTGGCCTGAATGCAAAGCGTCACATCTGGAGGAAACCTGGCACCATCCCTACGGTGAAGCATTGTGGTGGCAGCATCATGCTGTGGGGATGTTTTTCAGCGGCAG